GAAAGCCCCTCCCAAAAAACCAAAAAAAAAAAAAAAAGAGGAACTTTGCGGGGCAGGGCAAAATTACTGAGCAACACAAATTAAAATTATGAGAGTTACAGCAGCTAAAACTGCATTCCCACTGGAAGCAGACATCGCTTGCCAGTGAAACATCATCTCTTACATTGAAATAGTATTACTTTTACTTTTACTGGTCTTGTTACAATTTTTTTGTTTCACTGTTACAGAACAGCTGGAAGCACATGGACTTATACAAACCTGTATTTAAGTTTCACAAAGATAAAGGCGGTGTAAGTCAACAGTGAGGTTCTTGAGAGTCTTTTTCAAAAAGAGAGATGCCCGTCACTCAGGTGGGGAGGCCGTGCTGGAGGGAATCCACCCTGCCCCTAGCTTCTCTGAACACCGTTATCCTGTCCACAGGGGACAGAACTTGCTCCTCTGCTTCTGAGCCTGCAAATGTGCCTCACCATCGTCATCACACGGATCCCCCGCAGGGTGCCGGGAAGCCCAGCACACCCCCACCCATGCTCTCAGGACTGCTGGTTCGTGGGGAGATTATTCACGAGTTTAAAAATAACCCGCCTGTGCCTGGCCGCAACCAGCCTTTTGCTTTATGAAAAGAGACTTGCAACAGTTTCAGAAATATTTTGCTTCTTTGGTTGCACTTAAGGGTGTAACTATAATTATTAATTATCTGAAAGACACTTTGGGGCCACACTTAAAATTCAACATATAAAGAATAGAGCCAATTAAACATTGATGAGAAAGTAAGGGAGTGAAGTATTTATTCACTTACAAGTCCATCACCAAATCAAAGGTGATCTCTATAAGCTGAATTTGAATTAAGATTTTCCCTAAGTAAATTTCTTCTTAAGCAGTCAGTTACATGATAACATGATAAGCTTCTTTCTTTTTTCTTTTTCTTTCGTTTTCTTTTTGGTTGGTTGGCTGTTGGGCTTTATGAACACTTAAAAAGGAAGAAAGTTTTCCTTCATATGACTTTTAAAAGCTTGAAGGTTTGTAAGTTTGCAACAGATTTCATGAATCTTACTTCTAGGTATCTGGGCTCTGTCTGGTAAGGGAAAGATTACATTCACCTACGATGCATGAAGGATTCTTTGGAATGAGAATTACAAACCCATGCCAGGCTAAGATGCCAATGTCTCTTTTAACACTCATGAAATTGAAAATGCTTTTCATCTCCCCTGCAATTTTTCCTGTCTTGCAATAAACTGTAAAACCAAGAAAAAATCATAAGGAATTTGGTTGGTGAATAATATTAAGTCCAAAGAGCTGCCAACAGGATCGTTTTGAACAATAAATTACTAGATCTTCACCTCTTTCTCACGTGCTTTTCAGAAACCTTTACTTTTGGTTGTACAATCCCACGAAAAAGATGAGTTTCAATATGCACTTTTTCTACCATAATTACGTGGTGTGTAATTATGACATTCAAACCACAAGAAGTAGCCAAGCTGTATAATTAGCTGGATCCAACCGCATTCCCAGCCGTGAGACAAAAGCTCAGAGGAACACCACGAGAGCCTGGGTTGGAGTAAGTTCTGTCCCTCCCCAGTGGGGGCTCGCACTGCTGAAGAACCCAGAAGCCACAGGCTCATTACCGAGCACGAAGTCAACAGTAGCCAAGGGAAGGAATCGCACCCGCCCAGTGGTCCCCACTCTTTCTGAGATTGGAATGTTCACGAGTTCTAATCCAAGTACCAAGTTATTAAAACAACAGCAAGTAAAGTGTGATTTCCAACTATTTTTTCAGGGTAACTTTGTATTGCTTTTTGGGACAGGGTCTCACTATGTACTTCAGGTTGGCCTCAACTCACTATATGGCCCAGGCTGGCCTCAAACTCACAGTGATCCTCCTGCCTCAGCCTCCCAAACGATGGGATTACAGGGGTGTGCCACCACACCTGGCTCCAGGGTGACTTTTATGGCCGAGTATCTTGCACCTACATAAAAACACCAGAGCAGTCAGTCAATGCTGTCACATGCACTGGTGGCCAGGGAGACCAGTGACCATTTCTGCATCACACCGGATGACGCAGCAGACAGCAATGGCACATGCGGCCCCTCCGACATTGTTCCTCTGAGTGAACCTAGGCCTCCTCTGTCCCTCTCTCCCTGAGCACCTGCTTCACGGTCCCGACTCAGAGCTTCCAAACCAGAACCTCCAGGCACTGCTAACAAGCCCTACTAACCTTGTGAAAGCTCCCGTAGAAAATCTTCCTGATTTCTGGTCCTTCAAAAGTGACAGTTTGAAAATCACCGGTGTGGTCATAGTTGAAATATGTTAGAGTCTTCCCACCATCTGTTTAAACCAAAAAAAAATTTTTTTGAGAAACAATTAAGATAGGTGAATAATTTTTGCTAAAACTCAACCGTGAACGGAAAATAACACACCCATTGTTTTGAAACTGTTTAGAGCAAAGCAATGGTAATGAAGTAATTAACAGCCTCAGGTTGCTGCGGGCTTTTGGTTGGCCAGATTACCTGATTTCCCCATAGGGTGACGTGGGGGCCGAGGAAGACAGGCACACTTCTCTGCTGTGTACTCACATCCCCACCCATGACATGGGGTCCAACTCTCCCCGAACATGCAACCTGTGCTTCCCAGAGCAGCAAACAAAAGCCTTCTGATCTTGCCTCCTTATTTTTGGTACCAGGGATTGAACTCCAGATCTTGTGCTTGTGAGGCAGGCAGTGGAAACACTGAGCTAAATCTCCAGCCCTGATTCCTTCATATTTTTAAAATAGTAATATTTTCCTCACCGAGGCCTCCCTACATGACAGTTGAATTTTCCACTCTACATTCAAAAGGGACAGGCTAGTCTTAATGTTTTTCAGAGACTTTTTGTGTTGAAGTCCAGGATACATAAGGATTTAGAGGCACACACTTTTAGTCTAAGCTTTCCCTGAGTTTCAGTATCAGTGCTGAACCGTCACCATGCACTAGTTGTTGATTCTCTTCCCACACTGCAGGCTCCTTTTACAGATGACAATTGTGAATATGGTTAAAATATCCTCCTTGTCCACATGTCTGAGCTGGCACCTGGCAGTGCCCCCTAACTGTTGGTCCCTGGCTTCATTCTAATCTTGGGATTTACAAAACTCAGTGATGCTAACCCAAAACTTCTCAGTCCTCTGAAATGATCATCATCACAACAGCCCAGAGTACGACACTGAGAATCTTCCCTCACTGCTCCCTTTAACCTTCCCCTCCGGACACTGTGCCCTCCCGGGCTCTCTGCATGGGTTACATCCTCTTCCTAGATTCACCTTGCTGACCTAACCCAGTCCCACCACTCAAATTTCACACACACACACACACACACACACACACACACCAAACGCACAGCTCTAGCCCTGAGTTCTTCCCAAATACCCTGCTACCCATCTGACTTCCCTGGGGCAGCAGAGAGGCCCCTCGCATTCACCACACCCACATCCAAAACAGGACCTTCTGGCCTGTCTCTCCCAACAGATGCCCCACAGCCTCCCTGAAGTGCACTCTCCCGTCACACTCACTGCTGTGCCCCACAGCCTCGCGCTGGCACAAAGAGCGAACTTGAGGAATATTCGTGCAAAGAATGAGCAGCTACGGGAAGTAATCAACAGGTGCATGGCTCACTGCTTGGTGCCGCACACCTCATCAGTCCCTCTGCAGTCTGCATGGAACCGGCAAACGCAGGCCACACACACTGTCCATACACACATCCCAGAGTTACATACAAGAGTAGACTTACTGTCTAAAATGACCCCCACCAATGGGTCCGAGTTTTTATTCAAAATTTCCCAAAGGGCAAAGGGTTCCTGGGGCGTGTCAGGAAGAATCCGGAAGAGAAAGCTGATTGTGTAGTCAGTAGGCAATCCTTCTGGGTGTAAATACCTGAGGGAGGAAAGAGAAGAACGTTTCATCACATTTCCTTTAAAAGGTTTCCCTCTGATTCTAAAGTAAATATACTTTCATAACACAAGATTTTGAGAAACAAAAAAAGCGATTGCCATTAATCCCATCCAGATCCATTTTGATGTGGTACAAATTTCCTTCCAGTTTTTAAAGAATGCATGTTTGCCCAGTTTATACCATTTTGTCCCATTCTTTTCTTAGCATCATTTAATAAACATTTTCTATTTTCCTTACTTGTTTTTTTTTTTTAGTAGCATGGATCAAACCGAAAGCCTCACACACACTAGCCGAATGTTCTATCAGTAGCCCTGATTTTCTTACATATTTTTCAAACCATGGCATGTAATGGTGTCTTCTCTTGTAGGCTAGTTCATAATTTATGTACCAGTCACTTCTCACAGAGAATTTTAGTAGTTTCAGAAGTTTTGGTATAATAAATATGTGTCTCCACACCCCATTTGTACCCGTGTAGTTAGTTGTGCTTCTGTCTATGGTGAGGACTCCAATGCACATCTAGAACCACCTTCAAGAACGAAGACTCCTTTACCCCAGCCTGGGAGGACGGTCTGAAGGTCACTGTCAGACACCACGTTCCCTCTGCAATTGCCTCAGCTAGAGAAAACATCTCCTCCAGGGCCATGTCCCCTTTAAAGGAATCTCTTTCCATGTCTTGTCTTTGGAGGAGTTCAAGGACCAGAACTTCCAGTCCCAGGAGGACACAGCCTGAAGAATCTGGGTCCAACACTGTCTTAAAGGGTTATCTGGGGGTTTGCTGGTATTTTTCACCACACAATTTCTTCTCTGCCCTGCGCTGCTTTCTACTCTGCTTCCCATGACAGCACACCATCATCATCTTGGTGACTACTGGTGTCCTTCTGGGAATCTATGGGGGAGGCAACCTTCCAGAATCTTCCAGAACCTTCTAAAATCTTAGCTCTTTTTAGTACTTCTTTTACTCTCTCCAGTAAAGCAGTGCAAATCAGAATAGCCTTTCATATACAGTAAAACACATAATAGCTCTTAATTGAATGAATAAATTTGTAAATATATGGGAATTTACATGAGAACGGAAGGTTGCCTTGCACAGACAGAAACAAATATTTCATTCACTCATTTACGTTTTTTTATATTATTTATATTATTTAATTCATGTATTCAGCACTTGAGTGCCTATGAGACACCAGCTATAGTAACAGACATTCAAGACACATCAGCTAAAGAGACCGACAAAAAAGCCTGTTCTTGTCACACTGGAATTCTAGTAGGCTGAATTATATAGTATGTTAGGTCATACAATTCTGCTAAAAAAAAAATAAAGGCATAAAACATCTTAATAGAGATTGGTGGTGGATTATGAAACAATTTTAATAAAAGCCATCAAGAATGGCTCCTTGAGAAGCTTAAATCTGAGTGAAGCTGCATTGAGAAGGTTCGATTTGAGCAAAAACTCCAGGGAAGAAGCGTGGGGCGAAACAAGAGGCCATGGCTTGCCCGGAGAAGGGCGTCTCAGAGGACACCGAGATGGGTACCTGCTGTGTGGCTGGGGAAGACCGAAAGGGCGGGGAATGCCAGCCCGCAGGCCAGGAGCCTGGCCGGACTCACAGCTTCCAAGCGCGGTTCTAGCCGCTGCGTGAGGAGCAGTCCTTCAGGCGAGGCAGAAGCGAGAGGGCTGGGCTGAGTGGCAGGCAGCTACCGAGATCCGCGGAGTCTCCCAGGGCCCGGCCAGGGCGACAGCGGCGATGCCGCACAGGCCCGGCCTCGGGATCTCTGAGAAGGGACAGGCCCCGACCTGAGAAGAGTAACCCGGTACTGTGGCTCTGGCTCGCGAGATGCACAAGGGCAGTAAGTGAGCTGGCTCCTGAGGCGGGGCCCAGGTGTGACACGGAGCGAGTGTCTCCAGGGCAGATCTGCGGTGTATCCAAGGAGAGCCGCCTCGAGCAGGCAACCGGATGTGACGTAGGGCTGGGCCGGAAGTCGGGTCTCAGGAGGCCTGGCCTGGAGCTGGGGCTTCTGAGCCGCACAGGCCGGAGGGGCGGCCGTGCGAACCAACCGCGGACCCTGCAGCCAAGGGGCCGGTGTGCGCCAGAAGGCCGAGGACTGCGAATCTGGAGGAGGAAGTGGGGCAGCGACTTCCTAGCCTTGGAGAGATTTCTCCTTAGTAGTTTGCCTTGCGGGGCCCACACATTGTAAAATGTATCCCAAGGCAACGTGGGAAAAAAATCCTGCCTTAAAGGATCACGTGTTTTTTGAAAAGTGAACTATTTTTCTATAACAACAAATGTTTTAAATTAGTAGAAAAGTTCGAAGATTATTCCCTATAATAAAGCACAGCAAAAGAATGTGGGAAGTAGGGGAGGATTTAATAAAGACTATTTTAGAAAAAGAAGAAAGCTGCTGTAAATTGGACAAATAAATGTAAAATTCTAATGTGATCTCCCTTCCTTTTCCATGTCCACGTGCACAGTATGGCAAAATCCAGAAAACACAAAATTTTTCACAGAAACACTGACTTGTTTCAAGCAAAACCCATGTGGATTTAGGAGCTGGGGATTTAGCTCAGTAGTTCCGCTGCCTGCCTCGCCACGCAAGGGCCCAAGTTTGATCCCCAGTACCAAATCCAAAACAAACAAACAAAAAACCACGTGGATTTGGAATGCAACGCACCGCCCCTTCGCGCCAGGAACTCTGGGTTTCCTAACCTCGCAGCTGTGGTCTGGCATCACTACTTTGCCCCTACGTGGCTCCCCAGGCCTGCTCAGGGCAGCTGTACCTTCTCAGAGATAAAACCACTTGAACAAAAGCACCATCGTGAATCAAATCGCAGCGACACCACTGAGCAATCTGTGTGTTCCTACTCAAGGACCTGTTCCATCATTTGTAAAACTGAAATAATAAACTGGGCATGGCGGTGCACACCTGTCATCTCAGCACTCAGGAGGCTGAGGCAGGAGGGTCACCATGAGATCACTATGTAGCATGGGCTACATAGTGAGTGCAAGGCCAGCATGAACCACATAGCAAGACCCTGTTTCAAACAAGCAAATACCAAAAGCATAACAAAAACACATGAATAATAATGGCACTTACTTCACAGAGGTGTTTGGAGGTGAGAGCCCACAGAGGCACTTAAGAGTAATGCCCAGCGTACTGTAGTACAATATAAGTATCAGCTATTTTAATTTATTTTCTCAGATGAATAGATGCTAAAATTCAATCCGCATTATATATGAGTCTGGTGTTTTAAACAAAGAAATATGAGCGTCATCTGCTCTAAACATCATGGAAAATACTACCAAGAACAACTAAGCATATTTCAAATTGACACTTTTTAATACTGAGACCAGTAAGCACACAGTTAAGGTCAGCAACAGAAACGCACCTGGTTGGCTGGGAGACCAGGGCATCTTCGTGCAGCTGGTAACACGGGTACACGTTGAAGGTACCGGGCTCCATAGAAACCCCTTCCACCGATGAAAAATCCTTTTCAACCAAACCAAACATTTCCATCATCTTAAATCCTGAAAGAGAGAGAACAGAGGCAGGGAGGGTGGGAGGAGAGAAGCAGCAGGCAGGCACATTAAATGTCACACATTTTAAATAAAGGCTTTAAAAAATCCAAACACAAGGCCAAGGACAAAGCTCAGTACAAGTTCTGAAAAGCACAAGGCCCTGAGTTTGACTCCCAGTACCAAAATAATAATAATAATAATACATTAAATTTAAAAACTGCGATTTTGCATACCTGCAACATCAATGCCATCCTTGTGCACCATTGGACAGGCTGCAAAGCAAAACAAACAACATAAATCCTGACTTGGATATTTTCCAAACACCTTGTTTCCCTGCTGCTGGAACAGGAAATGAACACCATCTTGCCGGAAGTCAGCCCTGGAGCAACTCCAGGTCATGGCTGGGGTTTCCTCTCATTTTCTGCAGACTGACACACTCAACTGAGCCCTTTTAAAACCAAGAGGCCACCACTGCCTTCTCCTCTCCTGGGTCCAGTGGAATCAGGGACGCCACTGAGAGTGTGCTGGGAAATGACTCGTTCTTATGTATTCCCTGATAAGTGGGTTCAATGCGTTTTTGCAGGCTACTTCCTACACTTATTTAAACTCAGTAGCTTTTAAACATGAACTCTCATCTGTTAGTGGAAGATCTTTATCAACCCAAAACCCTTTACAGAGAGGAGGGCAGGTTTAATCCATCTGCTCAAAACCGTAACATTGATTGCCTGCATAACAAACAGCTCTGAAGTTAATACTATTTCCTCAGTCCAAGATGGGACTCATTCCTTAACCAATATTAGGCATTTCAGACTTTAAACAGCATGAGAGAGTACTCATCCCACAGAACTAACTTGCAGAGGCAGCTTCACAGACGAAAGTAATCAATTCGTCTTCAATTTTCTTAAAGGCGTCAAAGTCATCCACAAAGAAAACGTGGCGGGCACTGGGCTTGCTGCCAATGCTGACCAACTCCGAATAATCCGCGTCAGCCACACCAACTGCAAAAATGCTGTAGCCTGTGGGAGGAGGGAAGAGATTTTCCATGACTCTGAATCGCACAAAATACAAGTAACACAAATACAAGCTTTCGAATGTGCAAATGTTTAAAACGTGTTTATTGAGGGCAGCCAAGTGGGGGGGGCTCATTCATTCTTTACAGTTCATCAGGGCAGCGCTGAATGTTCGTATTTCATCCTGGGATCGTTATTCTATCATCGCCTAAAGAAAGTTTCCATTTTAAACAAATTTGGCCAAGGCTCCAATTCCTGCTGGAGACGAAACAGTTCCCGTTTGAGGAACATCTTTATGGTTGCATATTTTTAAGAGTTACTGTAACATTGATGGGATAAGGTACAGTTAGTTGAAGCATTCATTTCAGTTTGTTTTTCTTTGTTGTGTTTCAGAACTAGAGACTAAGATAGGCCTAGCAAGCTAGTCGTCATTCAAAGCTTGGCAAATAAATAGTAAACTACTACTTTATATTTTATATAACTTAATCTTCACAACAGTCCTAGGAGAATCTGTTTTACAGTTTGGGAGATGGAGGAGTTTCTGAAACGAGACTCTCTCCCTGCCTCTTTATAATGGTCCTTTTCCTTGTATTACATTTTTAAAAAAAATTTTATTGGTGTGCGTTCACATCACAGCTTGATCCATTTTATCTCCTTTTCTCCTCCCCTCCTTCCCATCGCCACAAAATCTCTCTCCCCATTTCCTACCCTCTGTCTTTTATTTTGCTCCTAAATCATTCACTGCATTAAACTTCATCATTACAGTTCCAGGTCATCCTGCACATAACAAAAGTATTCAAGAAAATGATCAATTCTAGTAAAACTGCATCATTACAGCTTTGTAAGCCAGAAGGCATTTTAAAAATCACATTTCTAGTTGAAAAAATAAAAGGCTTTGGAAAGTGAGTGAAGCTGGTGGAGCTCACTATACATTTGCATTTAGTAAACCGCAGGCCAACATCGCTACCAGGCCCTGCGCAGTGGTCCTCACCATCCGCCTGCATCTCCCTGCAGACTCTGTTCACCTCGTCCTGCGACCGCCCGTCGGTTATCACCACGATGACCTTGGGGATGCCTCTTCGCGTCCCCGCCTCGGGGGTGAACAAGGTGTCCCTGACGTGTTTCATTGCTTTTCCTGAAACAAGCATAGGCGACAATTCAATTTCACACCCTCGCGTTTTTGTTCTGCCGAAGGGAATAGAGTAGGAACCAAGTCCTTACATAAAAGAGAAACGTATTTTTTAACAATTTATTATGCCTCCAAAAAGGTCATTTCAGTAGTTTTTAATGGTTCCTGGAGGGGTGTTCTTGGCCTTACCTGTTTTTGTGTTTCCCCCTTTGTAGGAAATGTGTTTGATGGCGTCGAGAAGCGTCTCTTTGGATTTATAAGCATTGAGTTTAAATTCTGTCCTGGGGTCATCAGTAAACTGAACCATCGCCACCTGGAAGGGGAGGTGTGTGCACCGTTACACACGTGTGGACTTGCACTGGCAGAGAACACACACAGCAGCATGGCTGCCACCTACAATTTCAGTTTCTTCCTGAACCCATTCCACCTGAGAAGTCATGCAAGTCATACATCACACTTGAAGACAGGGTAAATGCTACATTCTTCCTACACACTTTTCAGGTACTGAAATTAATTTTTGAAATTAATTAAGTTTTACTTTCGTTTGAATCTCTCTCTACAGCATGGGACTTTTGCCACCACACTTGACGAGTGGTCAGTGGTTTCCAAAGCCTGTTACACGGACACATATCAGAGAATCGGGGCTGGATTTCTTATAAGAATTTCCGTTTGAAGCAACATATCAAGTAACTCTTACTATTCTTCCCATTTTGCAGATGAGCAAATCAAGCCATGGGGAAGTCAGTTGGCCATTTGCACAATATCCCAAGGGCTTGTCCATGACAAAAATAACAATTCAAGTCAAGTACGTTCTATTTCAAAATCTTTGCTCTTAACGACCACAATATGACCTCCCTCGCTTCATTTCCAATTTATCTGCTATCATCATGGGGAACTTTTGAGCTCTTTTTCATTAAATACCTTTTGCTTACTTTGCAGATCTGTGAAGCATACATTTTTGTTGAATAAATAAATTAGTTTCATGTTGCGCCTGACCTGCAGTGATATGTGACCACAAACACGTGTCCCCTGACAGGCAGCAGAATCAGAACTGGAGAAACAACTCCTGAAAGCACAGAATGCCTTAGGATCAATCTAAGCGCCTCACTTGCGTTCCGTCGGTGCCGATCTTGTCCAGGGCTCCCACGGTGCTGTACAGGAAGTTGATGATCTTGTTGAAATTGTCATCTCCGATACTCCAGGACCCGTCCACCATGAACACCAAGTCTGCCTTGGCGGCTTTACACACTGACAACCAAGAACATGTTGCAATCAGGGATGAAAGGAAAACTGTAGCTGTGGAACCGGGGGACATGGAACGGCTGCCGCTGGTAACGACAGCTCATTGCCACAGGACGAAACTGGTTACGGCTCATCTTCCGAGCATCACCCTGCTCACAGTCTCCTTCCCCATCATCTCTCTCTAAGGAATTTCAAGACAGAAGCATCAGCAAGTGTGCTCCCCTGTAACGGACCGGAAGGAAGTCTGAGCTCCCACTGACTCATCTTTTACTTACTGGGTCGGTAAGTTAATGTCTGAGGGATTCAAGCTCAGAAAGGAGGCCTGGGAGAAGCTACAATTCTGTGTGCATTTGAACGGAGGCCCTACTTGAAGTTGGACTCCAACGTTCAAAATTCTTTTTACACCCAGCACCAACCATGGATACGCGTCAAGAAAAGTCCAGTGACGCTAACACAGGGAAAACACCACAGGGCGTATGAGGGATATGGACACAGTCAACAGGACAAGAAACAAAAAATAAACCTACGCAATACCCATAAGACCAATCCCGCTGAAAGCTCATTTTGAGAGCCCTCCTTCAGCACTGAGGGCTGCTCTGGATTCGCTGTCTCTCTACCCTTCCGTTCCCGGAGACCATCGTGGTTGGTTCTGTTTTATGACGATGCAAAACAATTTGGCCTTCAGTAATCGGAATCTTTTGATCTTAGGCCAGTTGCACACAAATATTCTGTAAGACAATGTGTCTTTCTCCTTTCTTAAAAAAAAACAAAACTTCAGTTTCTATTTTATTCAGCACAATCCCATTCCCTTGAAGCTACTTATACTGTAAAATAAACCATCTCCAGATGAGAAAAATACCGCTGGGACAGTGAGTATCTGGTGAGGTCGCTCTCATGAGTTCTGTGATGTATAGCATTTTACAAATTTGTATTTTAAATATAATGCTGCAAAGAAAGACAAGATTAATTGTCTTTATTTTTAAAAGTCCTTTTTCCCCCCAAGGAAAGGTAAAAAAGGCAACTGAGTTTCAGCTTCAAAATGAGAGCAAATCAATTTTAGAATCTGTTAATGAAACATTTACATAAAGAATCAGAGAAAATGAATCATGAGGAAGTTGCCTTTGGGATAGGAAATAGTGTTTTTAATTTTCTTCTTTAAACTTTCTTTTACTCTTTAATGTGTGTCTAGTGAGTATGACTTCAGTAATAAAACTTTATGGGCTTTTAAATTAAGTACACTCAGAACAAACAGCTGAAAGTGAACAGTGCCGTCTAGCCGCATAGCCCATCATGAAAACCATCACGAGTACTTTAGAGCCAGTGCCCTACTGTGTCCATCTTTTCTCCCACAGATGCTGCCTAATCGCGTCTTCCAGGAGCGTCCTCCAAATGCTACTGAATCAACCCGGCCTCTCTCACCCACGGAAATCCCCACACTCAGAGCCCTCTGCTGAGTCGGCGTCAGGTGTGAGGATGGTCACCAAGCCGGGAGGAAGATTTGCCTTCCAGGAGGATGAACCTCAGAAGCTGCGGGGCAGCAGGGTGCGGCTGGGAGCCCTCGGGTGTTTGATTTTGCTGTTTCCAGGGAAAGATGCCGCACAGTGAGTGAGCGCTGTTCCTGGTAGGTGCTGAGTGTCTCCTTTCCTCTGATCCTCGCACCCTTACTTCCTGCCCCACCTGGCCCTGCTGACTTCCAGTCCTGCCTCCAGCTGCCGTCCTGCCCTCTCCTCCTCCTGCTTTTCCTCCGGACTCTGCCAAAGTGAGTGAGTTCTCCAACCAGCTTGCATCAGGGTATCGCCCTTCCTGCTACCTTCTCACGGGGCGGAGCCCAGACTCCCTGCCCCACGCGTCCTCCTCCCACCTCAAGCCTTCCTGGTTGCCTGTGACGCGGGTCCAGCCCACTGTGTCTCCCAGGCTCGCTCCGCAGATGCAGGCCGACTCCCCTCCTGAGTCACTGGCGCGGCAGTGGTAGTTACCCTACCTCCCGGAATAGACCGCACAGCCCTACCCTTGCCAGCTAATTATCTGCAGGAGAAATGAGCAGAGGGCAGCAATCACTCATTATTTCTGCATTCCCCGGCCTAGCGCGAGAGCTTAATATTTGGGTTAATGAATGTTCATTACTGGAATTAAATAACTTAATGATCAGTGCTTTCTTAAAAGGCTTTTTCTTTGCTTCTTTGCAGTATCAGAATCAAACCTGGAGGACTCCACTCCTGAACTACATCTCCATACCATGCTAACACTGCTACTAACCCTTTTTTAAAAGTTTGAGATACAGCCTCATTCTATTGCCCAGGCTAGCTTCAAACTTAGGACCCTCCTGCCTCAGCCTCCTGAGTAGTATTATAGGAATGTACCACCAGGCCTGGCCAGAGTATTAAAAAAAGAAAAAAATGACCTGCACAGCTCTACCAGCAGTGCTGGGAAACTGCTGGGAAAGGCTGGGAGGGGCCTGGGCCTCGATCCCCGGACCCAGTCTCTCCATGACTCCGGTTGCAAACCGAGCTGGACAAGAACTGGATCAAATGTCCCTTTATGCTCGAATTGAACCTAACCATTGGATTTGATTTGGTTCTCACTCAAGAATTGTGGAAGAATCGAGTTCGTGTACTGTGTTCGTGGCCCATTGGATTTCATAGCAAGCCAGGATACCACGGCCTTTGATTTCAGAATTCTAAACCATTTTCACTTACAAATTACACAGTTCTTCTTCCTTGGAGAAAACTTATTATGATACTTTCAATAAAAACAGTATTAAACAGATTCGATGAGGAAAATCTATCCTTGTGCATATAGAATTTATTAGTAAATGGGTATTTTTTAAAGAAAATTGCATCTTAGTTCTTAAAGCCCTGATAGGAAGGAGAAAATGAGGTAGCACAATGAATTTCTTTCATGAATACCTTGGGTTTAAGTCAATAAACCAACAGCACCAAAAGAAAACGCAGCTGGGATCGCATGGATACGGTTACTACCCCCTTACCTTCTCGGGCGGGTGGGATGGTGGGAGGGAGAGTCGGCGGCTGAGTAGGGTGGGACCCTAGAAAGAGAGGGAGGGGAGTGTCAGGGTGTCCTCCGGAGGGCAGGGCACAGAGGGGTGCTGGGAGTGCTTTCTGGGGCGTCCTTGCCGAGTGCCTTCCTTGGAGAATCGGCGACTCCTATGAGAGCCACAACCTGTGCACACTGCCTACCCCTCCCTCAACTGCAGACCAAGGCCCCAAAGCCACCGTTCTGCCACCATTCTGCTCTCCCAGCAGTGTCCGGACCATCGCTGCCAAGTACAAAGCGGTCCCTGTGTGGACTTGAGGCCGGAATCGCCAGCCCTGTCAGGTCCAGTGTCTGGCTGCATTCACGCACACCATCGGCTTCATTTGCAGCCCACCAGTGAGGCCTGACTGTCCTGTCCATCTTCCTCCCAGAGCAGCGCCCCCCATGCGGGGCCCCAGGATGCTGGTTCCCCATCCTGCACAGCCCCCAGCCAGAAAAATGTCTTTCTGCTCTGAGACCAAATGTAAAGCTGCAGTGTGTACAGACCATTGCAGCCTGGATGGGTGAGTGTGGTCTGATGGAGGGGCCTGAGACAGACCGCAGGGGTGGACCTCACACCAGCTTACCAGGCAAAGTACCCAAGGTGATGGAGTCACCGGGGACTCACAAAACATCACTTCACAGTGCATTCTCTTCTACTCCTCCTTGGCACAGAGATGTAAGGAGAGCTGAGAAAGTTTTCACTATCCCAGTTTGAAATCTGGGAAGCCCCCTGCCAGTCCCAGCATTCACAAAGGAGAGGTCAGCCTCAGGAAAGAGTAAGCAGGGCCGGGGATTTAGCTCAGTGGTTCTGGTGCCTGCCTCTCAAGCACAGGGGCCCAAGTTCCATCCCCAGTACCAAAAAAGAAAAGAAAGCAATGCAAGACTGAGGGATCTGTGTTCAGAACAGATCACTTGCCTGAAATGTTGTAGAGGGAATTCCCTCATCAGACAGGGCCATTAGAAGAGACCCATGTTAGGGGCTCTTCCATTTCTGAGAGCCAATAAAATAACATTATTTAAATAAAGAGATCCAATGCTATAGAAATGAAGTAACTGCACATTACTAATATGGAAAAATGTCCAAGGCTACTTCTTAGGCGAAATAAAGCATCTCAGGATACCAAGTGTTGGGGCTGGGGATTTAGCTCAGTGGTGCCACCGCCTGCCTCGCAAGTGCAAGGACCTGAGTTCGAACCTTCGTACCAAAAAAAAAAAAAAAGGATGCCAAGTTTGGGTCTAGATGTCCCCCAAAGCCTCATGTGGTCACAGGTTGGATCTAGAGTGTGTGCAGCTGGAATCAGTTCATGGTACAATGCTAGGCTCAAGGGCACTAGGATTGAGTGCTGCCCACCCTAAGTAGTCTGAATAAGATAAAAAGGGCAGCGAGACTCTGTTAACTCCCTTGTTACCTTTGCTGCCTTCTGTGTGCCATGTTGTTTCTGCTCTGCCAGCCTCGGAGGCAGCCGATTACGGACTGAACCTCTGTGAATCGTAAGCCAAATAAACCCCTTCCCCTCTAACTTTGGGTGTTGGGTATTTTGTCTCGACAATGAAAGAAAAGTAACTAACACACCAAGGGATAACCCCCTTTGTGAAAAAAAATTAAAGAATTCCTGGAAGGAAAGCTCAGGGTCAGAAGTGGGGATTTCTGGGAAGGGAGGATTGGAAGACGTGGAGATCAGTACAGGGTCTACATGCTGTGATGCACTTCTGCTGTGCTGTACGGAGACAGAGCTGGCATCACTTTCTAAAAGGTGATTTTCTTTTTAAGCTAAAAAGTTCCAAGAGTAAAAACAGCTGAGAAATCTTAATACTAAAACTAGGGTTGTGAGACTTTTTCTTGAAAGCACTGCAGAAAGCTTTCAAAACCAGACTCATTCATCTTAAAATCGGTGGACGGTGCCTCGTCTTCCCTAATGCCAAAGGCTAAAGCATGTCCCAAATGCAGCCAATAAATCAAGAGCCCAATCAATGAAGGGCTAGGGCAGCGGATCAGGACCTCTGGGTGGAACATCTGGCCACAGACTCTCGGTAAGAAGAGCTGTGCTGGAGCAGACGTTTGTCTTCCCGATACGGCATGCAGATGTCCCGCGTTCAAGAGAGTGAGGGCTGTCAGAGTCTAAGGAACTGGCTCGGTCTGGGTTGCTTCATGGGTTGGACCAGAGCCAGCGGGTGGAAGTTTACAAGAAGACAGATGTCTCCAAATCAGGAAAACGTTTACCTCTGGCAAGGCTGGCCCAGCTGGAGTTAACCTTACATGGTAGTTCACTAACAGTTGGGGGGCTCAAGCGAGGAGGTCTTGAAATAGATTCAGGGTCACAAACCAGAACGTTCGTAGCGGTCAGGCAAGCAATGACCATGAACAATGAACGTAGTCTACAAAGGCCAACGTGCAGGCGCTGGCCAACGAGCTTGCACTTAATTGGTTCCAGCAGATTGGCACCAGGAGGATACATGGGCCCTGTGTTGCAAAATGTTTTGGGTTTTCAAAAAATATTTTAAAATTTAGAAAAAAGCAAAGCTCAGAGAAAACATGTCCGATCGAGACAGATCTAGCTTTGTGGCCACCATGAGGACAAAGGGTCCTTGCTCAGCAAGATACCGGTTGCAAAGCTACGCCTTTCCTGTCACCAGGGGCCGGGAGAAAGCAGAGCTTTAATTTTATCGCTGAGCTGAGAGAGGCTTGGAGGTGTTGAATGGCACAGGTCACAGTGCTTAAAACCAGCACAACAGGCTCGAGCACACCTAGGGAATGGCCCCTAAGTCTTGCATACCACCAAAGTCTTCCTGACTTCACCAGCTTATTTTGTGGCTCCATAAGACAAGATTCTACTCTGCAACAGAGTACACTGTGCTGGGGGGCACATTCTACAGCGGGGATAACCGCCAAGGCACACGCTAGGGGAATAACCCAGGTGCACAAGAGTGCCTGTCATGTGTTTCCACTTGCATTAAATGTCCTACAAGGCAGATGTATATGAAACAAAGTAGAGAGGCGGGGAAGGGGACAGGCTGTGCGTGGACAGGGAAGTTTTCTTTGGGTGGAGAGAAGACACTGGATTCTGGTGATGGCCATAGGACCCTTTACATGTACTAAAGAAGTCACTGAATTTTATACCTAACCTGCACTTTCATTTCATGGCTTATTAACTACCTCCAAAATGTATGTGTAAGCTGGGCCTGGTGGCACACACCTATCATCCCAGCACTCGGGAGGCTGAGGCAGAAGGATCACTGTGAGTTCGAGACCAGCCTGAGCTACCTAGTGAGGTTCAGGACAGTTTCAACTACGTAGTGAGACCCTGTCTCAAAGACAAAATCAAACAAACAAAATGTATGTGTAATATAAAGTTTTGAATATTTTTGTGTTCGGAAATAAAAATTTTTATATTATAAAAAATTAGGTAAAGCATTCAATATATTTTCTTTTCTTCTTTTTCAGTACCGGGGATTGAACCCAGGGCCTTTGCATTGAACTACATCCCCAGCCCTTTTTATTGTTTTTATTTTGAGACAAGTAGTCACTGAGTCATTAAGTTGCCCAGACTGGCCTCAAATTTGTGATCTTCCTGCCTCAGCCTCCCAGACAGCCGGGTTTATAAGCCTGTGCCACCACACCCAGCTGTGCGCTCTGTCGATGATGATTTCTTTCTGCATGAGTCAGAAAGGCTGAAACATCTACACGAGACTTACCCTTCTTAAATGCCATGTACACGACAGCAGGACTAAGAAAGCCCCTGCCCACTCAAACATAAATCCTCAGCGATTCCAAGGTTAAATTCCAGATGCGGAGTTAAGCACACAAATGACCCCCAGAACTCACTGAGATGGAAACCACGTTCATGTCCGTGGCCTCCAGGGCAGGGATTCTCGATTAAAAGCCCTTCCAAGAATCCGACACCCTCCTTGCTCTTTGGAACAAGTAGAAAGAGCTTTGTTCTCGTTTTATACTTTGCCTTTGCCTTCAGGGGATGAGATCTGCAGCCAGCTTGGGAAAGCACAAGAGCCCTCAAGTAGGCCCCCCTCCCCTGGTGGCCACACTGCTTGAATGTCAGGACCGAGGCCTCCAACTCCAGGGCACCCCTACACGCCACCGTGTGTCCCTGGGGGTCCAGATCACAGTGCAGCCATAGTTTCCAGTGCCCCGAGTCACGTGACTTAGAGCCACGTGAAACACGCAGCAGAACGGGGAGGCCCTGTCCTCATGACGCCAGTGGGCCTTGTGCAAGGAACCCTGATCACATCAGAAGAGCAGCACTCGCATGACACAAATTCCTAGGTGGCGGTCGCTGACATTTTTCTAAATGGAGTGAAGTTTTAGATCCAAAACAGGTGCCGGCCATGCCTTCTGTTTGTGTCCAGGGACCAGAGGAGCAGACATTGAACTTACGTGTTCTCTCAATTATGCTCACACTCGGCCCCTCTAGCTCCTGGAGCTTGGTGTAAACGCTGATTTTATACTCGGAATCAGGCTGAAGTCCGTAGAAGCAGTGTCTGTTTGTCCCTCCTCCCACGGTGGATTCTTGCTTTTGTGTATCTGTAACAAAGACGAAACAGACATATACAAAAGCTTTTGGAGAAATCACTGGCATTTATTTGACTTGCTTCTAAAAAGCATAATATGCACGGTCTCCATCAGACGACTCCACAATGAATTATCCTTGTTTGAAGTATATTTTCCAAAGCTATAATATACCCACTGATTTTTTTCTGTTAAAAATCACATCCTATTCCACCACCTGCCTCGCAAGCACAAGGACCCGAGTTTGATCCCTGGAACCAAAATACAAACAAACAAAAAATCACATCCTATATGAATGAAAATAAAACTTACTATTAAGAATCCCAAGGTCACGTTTCTGAGCAGAGACCTATTAATGCACACAATCACATGCACGATCTAAACTGGCCTGTGCACAGGTGTGACTGTATCTTTACTTCTTGTAAATGTGAACTCCCATGTATTCAGCACAACTCTTCCGCACACGGGCCCGTGATGACAGAATGACAGAAAAGGACAGATGCTGTTCATTTCACTCAGATTACTCTTGTCCAACAGGGCGCCCCTCTGGCTGGGGGTCTAAGATCCGGCTGCCACGACAGAGGACCCAGGCAGGCTCGGCAGACCCTCGCCCTTCTGAGCAGGAGCTGCAGGGGCTCGTGCCTCGTCCTTGGGTCCAGATGGTCCAAAACCGCCACACGGGCAGTTGGGAGTCCCCAGACGGCCCACTTACTCTTCCGAGCCGGATTTTAGCTGACACTCATGATTTCTCTCCATCACAAGGACACTCGTGGGGAACTCCGAGACCCTCTCCCGACTCCCAGGGTGCGCCCCGAAATGCTTTTCTGCTCTTTAAACTCACACAGCAAGAAATAGGACACGGTGTGAATCACACAGCCACTCCTGTCATGGCCCTCTTTCTGCCTTCTCCACCATGGCAGAGCCGAAACAGACTCTGGAGGCTCAGAGAACCGCTGGGCCCTTTCTTCAATTCCCACATCCATGGGAATCTGCTCGGCTCTCGGGGAGGAGTGGGAGGAGGTTGGACGGAGGATGCTCCTGAGGGCTCACTATCTGCGTGTGTGAATTAACAACCCACCCAAGACAGCGATGAACCACAGCTAACGAGTCCTGGGCAGGTGCCAGGCCACAGCCTGAGGGTTTTATTTGTCTTAACATTTACAGCTACCCACAACTCAAACATAAGAAATCCAAGACCAGAAGAGCTAGTGGTTCCCAAGTCCATAACTCAGTAGCAGAACTAAGGTTTAAATTCAGAATGGTAACACCCACTCTAAGGGGATTTTACTTTGATTTCCAGTGGTATATCATAAAATAATATAAATTAAATACATAGTTTTTCAAAATGAAATAGCCTGAGGGCTTTATCACTCCATCAGACATGGCCTACTTTGATTTTAATTAGGAAAAAGTTTCAAGTGGGTTTTCTTGTAGGGACAGAGTATTTATTTCTACTACAGTGGCTGTGAATAAAAAGATGAATCATGGTACCATGAAAAGAACAACCAGTCAAATTTCCTTCTAGATGATTTTCTCACCCCTAAATTGTCTGTTCAGTTAAAGCTTTGCAAAGCTTACTTTCTAGAAGTTTAAAATCTACTGTTAACTCCGTAATTAAATACATCACACATATTATTTAATATGTGTTCAAAATAACCATCCACTCTTCAAAAATGTTATTGGCAGAAGAGTTTATTAGACATAAACAATGTATATGAAGCGTGAATTCAGACCAGTTCCTTTTAAAAGTGCAAACCGTTAAAATGTCCAATAATTTTTGTCTGTTTAGAAAGTATAGTGCTTAGACAAGCTTCATTCTATATTTTAATGTACATATTAGAACAACACACACGTATATTTCAGTATGTATACATCAGAATAAACATATACATCATTTGGCCATGGAAAAATCCTGACCTTTAAAAATGTAACTAAATTAAAACCATGTGGAAATGAAATTGAAATTTATTTTTATATACTGCGAGTAGTAAGAGATTCAGAAGTAAACTTCACAATGTGATCTTTATTAATATATTTGTTCACAGTGAAGTATTTTCTACAATCTTTTTAATGTCTTCTATAAAATGACAAACTAAATTGGTGAAGTATTTGTGAGATTATGTGTTTCTACAAAGACAGGAAGTAGGTTTAGTCAATCCCGAGTTCTGCTTGGCTGAGGCCCACGTTCAGCCTGTGGCCCCCAGGGTGAGAACGCCCACATGACTGCCCCTTTCTGACAAGGCCTTGGCCACTCTTCCCAGCCTCGTGGAAGTCTTTGAGAGCCACCCTTACCCACACACGTCCGGAGACCCGTGACCCATCACACTATCAGTGTAAACACGAGCTTTCCAGGGACGTTGCCGGGACCCCGCTCTAGAAATACACTTTCTGCCTTTTCCTACTTCTTGTGGCTATCCCTGCACTTTGAAAAAAGACCCTTGAAACTAGAACCTTAATGGATCTTACTTTTAAAAATAATAAGTCTATAACCATTGGAAAACTGGAGCAGGCGCTGTAAAATTAATGGCAAACGGCATGTGCTGGACTCCCAGGGCTGACAGAGGGGCTGCACGGGAGGGAGGCACCGTGTTGCTTTTGGCAAGGAACGTTCAAGTCCAGTGGCTTCGCCTTAAAACAGAACTTAAAGTGATCAAATGATGACTGATTTCTTCAACCCTTTATGCCAAGAACAGAAAGTTATTTTTTGGAACAGGAGAACTTCTGTCTTCGTTTGTGCATTCATTCCTACTCTAGGAAGCCAAGCTAAATTATGCTCTCTGGATTCCAGCCATGTTGCTGATAATGCCACCACCCCACCACCCCAAAATGCTCTGTGACAGTTCCTGCAAACCACGAGCAAAGGTATTCAGGGTCCACGTAGCAACTCGGCTTGAATTTTACGCCCTAAGTACTTCCACTCCCCAGAGCGCCCCAACATTCCGACCCTCGATCGAAACGATGCTACTTCAGAAGTTAATCTTGGAAAGAGGCTTTATGATTTGTTCTCTGGTACTGGATGAGGTTAGCTCTAAACTCTGCGGCAAATGTCTACAGCAACTGTTAACGGATGCTATGGCAGAGTGACCTTTCAACACCGAACAGAGCACAGTTCGAGGGGCCCCGAACTGAACTCTTCTCTACGCCAAGCTATGGGGATTGGAGAGGGGTACACGCCGGGGTCCTAGTGGCACAGAAATATGTGGATCTGAAGGGAGCCTTATATCTGATCTCAGGTTCTGAGTCAACTAAATAATGATGGAAGAGGGGCAGAAAGCAGAACCCTCCTAGAACTAACCACCACTCTACTAGGTCTGAGCCACCAAGACCTCCCGAGAGCCTCTTGCTTCGGTCCACCCCAGAATTAACCAAAAACCTGTCACAGAACTTGGCAAGACGGTGGCCGGCAGACTTGACTTCAGTCTCTCCCAAGAGGACCTTGTCCTTCTGGTAATCTCTTTCTCTTTCCTCTGCCACAAAAATGCCGTAATGTTGACAGAAGTAGAAGACATCTGCTGTCTTGGCCGGTCCCACACCCAGTCCCTCTTTTGTGGGTCTCTCTGATCTGGAGAGGAAAGAACACCACCCACTCTGCTCACCACCACCACCAGGCCCAGGGTGGACGCAGCCAGATCCATCCAGCAGTTTTCCATGTCTGTGAGCTCAGTAACAGATTTCGGGGCACATGACCCGAACTGGCCAATATGAGTCAGCACCTGGACTCCCGCTGGGAAGTTCTGTTTTCGCTGTGGCTGGGAATCTGGAAGCCTGATGGTGTCATTCTGGGTCTGACTGGGGCCCGGCTTCAGGGTGGAGCCTGGCAGGGTGGAGCCAGACTTCATCTTAATGACATGGCCAGAACGCCTAGATCCAGATAAGCCTGAAGGCTGATCTTCTAGACTTCTCAGGTCGTGCGCCAATAAACGGACCCTTTGCTTAAGCTTCCTTCATCTGGTTTTCTAGACACGCAACAAACAAACTTGCACAACTTGGCTGGAACACTTCACCTACAAGAGCCTCGGAAATGTGCAGGCAATTGCTTCCCTTGACAATGGCACATGAAGTGACCAGAGAAACTGAAACCCAGAGAAGACAGTTGATCAGCAGAAACCATCTGCTAATGTCAGGCCTGAATAAAAGTGTGCCTGGGCAGGCCATGGGAAACAGAAGAGGACAAACACCACCCAAACAACCACAGGAATACGGCCCAGGCATTCAGAGTCAGATCAACCAAGGGTTCATCTGGCACACAGAGGAACTGGGTCCCATTCTCCCTGGCATCGCCTCTGGCTAGGTTGGGAGGATGGCAGCGTCTCAGAGTCTGCAGCGCACAAGTACCCCACAGAAGATGTCAGAGTCAGAACTCCGGGGCCAAGGAAGAACGAGAGCCTTCCCGCCAGTCCTTCAGAGACTCCCACCGTGCCTTTCAGCCCCAGAGTCGGCTGGCCTTGGACTGAACCCACCAGAACTGTGAGCCAGGTAAGCCTGTGCTCCTTTAGGTTGCGAGTCTTGGGATTGTGACTCCTCCATGGAAAAGACTGAATCAGAATGGGGCCTGTGTTTCTCTAGGATACAGAGGCTCAACCTAACTCTTCCTTGCTCCAAAGCTGAAAGACCAGGCCTTGATCTAAACTGTGCACCTGAAAGCACCTCGGCACATTCTCTGCCACACCCCTGCATGCTCTCCAGCACCTGTGTCCCCCCTTGAACCCTCAGTCAGGTTGTATTGCTGAGAAATGCTGTTCAGCCAGATGACTGGGCCAACAAGACATAGACTAACTTTTCTCACAACTCTTTGTCAGCTAGAAGTGCTGATGAGAAGTACATGGAACAACATTCCTGCATGTTCTTATGTCATCGAGACTAAAGGCTCAGCCCAGAGGTTTCTAGCAGCTAACAAGATGCAGAGAGTATAAACTAACTTCACCGGAAGACCACGTCACATTTATGGGCGTGCATGCACGTGCATTAGAGTTTAGGTCTGAAATGCCCCCCGAACCTCACATGTTTGGAAGGTAACTGGATCAGGGGGCACCAAATCCACTGATGAGTCCATGGCTGAATGGCTGCTGGGAGGTGGGGCCTGCTTGGAGGCGGTCACTGGGGACATGACCTAGAAGTGTGCTCGTGTCCCGCTCATCTCTCTGCTTCCTGGCTGCCATGGCGGTGCAGCTGCCTCATCCATGCCCACCCACAATGCATTTCTGCCTTGGAGCCAGCTGACCTTGGACTGAACCCACGGGAACTGTGAGCAAGATAGACCTGTGCTCCATTACTTTGTGGGTGTTGGGTATTGTGTCTCTGTGATGGGAAAGCAGCTATAACAATATATGGCCTCATGTTTTGGCCAGCAAAGATCTTGGCCTCAGTAAGGACTTCCTGTGGTTTTAGAGTATTAGATCAATGTTATCAGATACATTAATCGTGTCCTCTGATAGACAATGCCACTGTCAAATCGCTGAATAAAAAATACTTACAGATCCTACTAATTCCATCAACAAAGCTACTTTTGATGCGTCCTTTTGCCATTCTCTACAATTCTAATCTTTAGGAAAGGCAACGAATTGCCACAGGACCTAGATTCCTTCATTTCCATTTCTTAAATGTTATAAATGGACAAAAATATTGTGGGTTAGTTTAAGAGTGTGATTACTATACTTGGTATTTTTTTTTAAACCAAAAAAGTACTACTAAATGTCAACCCTTCTATATGAAAGTGTGACCTACAGATATATAAAGTATAATTCAAGATTGCCTAGTTGTGTCAGATAGTCACATATCTTTCATCAAGTTCTGATTAAGATTCCATAAATCATACTTAATACGATCATAATATTCACATATTGTGTCCTGATTTTCTTTTCCTTACTGCTCATTCCATGTTGGGCCATTTCCCTGCGTCTAACTCACACCACGGCTAAACCAGCATAGGGAACCAAGGAAGTGACGTCACTGAAGTAGATGTAGACACAAGACGAGATCTTGGCAGGACTGGAGGGAGATTCTAGAACGTTCCTCCTACTTCAGTCCATATTCTATAGGGTCCTACATCCAAATGGTGTCAGTGCTCTCCCATACTGTGCTCTCCACTTTATGGACTGCATCAAAAGTGGGGTTTATGGATTTTGAATGCAGACACAGCCAAATATATGGGTTAGGAACCCCAGTCCTATCTGGATCTCAATTAAATGACTCCTACTTTTTTTTTTAAGTGGAGGAAACCCAAATCATTTGTTGGGAGAGAAAAGGCTACATTTTTAACAGCTTTACTATCAAGTTTGAACATCCTTTTTTTTTTCTCTTGAGATTCTCCACCATCTCCTGTGATTCCCCCACCAAGGATCAAGTATGTCTCTCCCACTGTCTGTACACATGGCATTAACGTACCTTTCTCTTTTTTTTTCATTTTTTGAATACTGTCCATACTCATACTGTAAAAAGATGAATGGGCCTTAGACACTCATTTTTGGGGAATCAAGTTTTTGTTGTTTTTGATAGTTTTGATGATGAGGAAGAGAAATTTTAGGGTCTCACTTGGGAGTGAGGCTTCAAGTAAGCATACTCGAGGCTGTAACACCAAAGACCTTGTTCAGAACAACATACATACACAGCACCCTCTCTGGAAAGGGTTCATCACCGACTCCCCACTCAGCAGACCATGAAACAGTAAAATCCTTCAAGTCACAGCCGACACCCCAGGGGCGAGCACCAAACTTCGGCATCATTTAGTCTGGGCTACGCAGCTCCCCTCAGCCTAGGCCTCACCAAACCCTAAAATCCGGTCCTATGGCCACTGCCATCAGCGGACCACAAAGCAGAGCCCTGGAGAGGTTAAGTCATTTCGGTCACTCTGTGAGAGGCTCCAGTCTACAAGGCCTGTGCGCTGCCCTGCAATATGGAAAGAACCGAGCACACACGTGCTGGGCAAAGCTCAGGTGACCTTCTTACCCTGGACGGATTCTATGACGATCCTGTAGGCTGTGGCATGGCGTTGCACTTGCCACCGGGCGCACAAGCTGGTCATTTCTACCTGGTGTGCTTGGAGCTCGGTCACACCCAAGAACACTGTAAGGAGAGAGACATACTGTGTCATGCCACAGACGATGCCGAGACGTCTCTATGCCTGAAAATTATTTATGGTAGCATTACCATTCAAATCGCTACACTCGGAGGTGGGAAACCTATCGACTCATGATAAGTTGGTGCACAGAAGATAACTTTGGATGGTGAGAAAATAATTTGCAAAACGTTATGTATGGGTTTTTAAGTGGAAAGGGAAACATATATATGTTCACAGGAAAAAGACAGGATGCAGTGGATGGGGAAGCACTGAGTGGTTTTTATCTTCCCCTTCATTTTTCTTTCTATACATAGTCAATTATGAACAGATACTGTTTTTATAATGAAAATGGTTACAGTACATCTTTGTCAACCAATGAAATACATGAAGTAAAGAGGATGATGTAGGGCCAGGGATTTAGCTTAGCGGTTCAGTGGCCTACCTTGCAAGCACAAGGACCCAAGTGCAATCCATGGTACCAAAAAAAAAAAATTCACAAGGGCTGCCCTTCAAAATTTAACTAAGACTATGTGGTATTCATCCTTCTATGCCTCACTTCTTCCATTTACTCTAAGGCCTTCCAGGATCACCTGAATTACCACAAGGGATAGCATGTCGTCCTTCACGGCTGCATAGTATTCCACTGTGATCTCATTCATCTGGGATTCTAACAAAGTCGACCTTGCAGAAGTGGGGAGTAGAAGGGTGGGTACCAGGGCCTGGAGACACTGGGCAGTGACGGGGAGAGGTTAGCCAATGGCCCTCAGTGAGAGTGAGCTAGAAGGAACCATTTCCAGCGTTTGATTGCACAGGGCGGGGGCAGCTGTAGTTAATGACAACACATTGTCAGATGAGAGGGCTCTGAACGTGATCGGCACAAGGAAAGGACGAGTATCTAAGTGAAAGATGCTAATTACCCAGATCTGGCCATTTCACAGTGTGTGCAAGTGTGGAAGCAGCACACTGCACCCCATAAATCTCTGAAGTGATTTAGAAAAACTAAGCAACATATGATTAAATATTTCTGAAAGTGTTAAAATGATAGAATTTGCACATATAACACACATTCTCCAAAAATACATAGATCCCTATTAGTCTTAGAAAACTGATATGTGAAAATGATTATTTTGTGAACCAATAAAAATATCGCTCCTCCAGGACACAGGAGAGAAATCGCTTGGTGTTTCTCCTTTAGATCCAAACAGGAAAAAGCAGAAAATTAGTCTTTATCCTCCCTAGTGATCCCTGGTTCCCATTCATATAATTTTCTTACTTCTTTTTTAGCTAACTCATAAAATAAAATTATCTTTTAATTATTCTTTTGCAAGATGGCAAAACACTCGTATTACTCATAATTTATATCTTTATATTATTCCTTTCCATTAGAGTAGAAAGGGGAGACTTTTTTCCAACAGCCCATTAAATTAGATGCACAACCACGGGAAATTCATAATGATTTCTATAACTAAACTAAAATTTTTCAAAAACATATTAAATTGAGTTCTTTTCATTATGTGAGGTTATTTTGCCTAGGAGAAAGAGAGCCGATGAACAACGAGCTCATTTAAATTTTACTCTAAGGACGTGAGTATAAAACAATTGAAGACTTTCAGTCTTTTACAGTAGGTGTGGAACCCTCACCATGTTAGGGGAGGAAAAAGAAGAAAGAGGGAGGCAGGGAAAGGATAGAGAGATGAAGCGAACAAGTGGAGATTCTGGCAGGGAAAACATCAGGAGACAGAAGAAGCGACACGGAGGAGGCACCGCGCAAAGGAAGACAAATCAAACTTGAGCAGGAGCGAGGACAGAAAGGTGGAGACCGGGGTGCGGGCCTGCAGTGGCCCAAGGAGAAGCCCAACAGGGCACTCCAGCACCAAGCACGAGCTCAGACCCGGGCCAGAGGCTCCGCAGGTCTGCAGATGCACAGAGCATTTCTTCTGAGAAGCACAGTATCCGGTATCCGCCTTTGACCTCAAAAGACTCCGCAAGAGACAATTCAGGAAGACGCCTTTGTAAAAGGACTGGGCTTCTGTGGAACCCGGGGTGACTCGGGGTCCGGCTCAGCAGAGGCCCTGTTCTTGCCCTGCTCACCTTGCTCCTGTTCGTCAGATCCGTGACTGGACTGGGGGTGGGGCAGGGCGTGTGCCAAGGCCGTGAAGCTCAGTTGTCACAAGAGCGACAGTGAGCACACCCGCAAACAAGCCTAAGGTGGTCACCGTCTTCCTTCCAGGGCAGAGGAAGGCTGGCCAACCAGGAGCGTAGGGCTTATTCTCCTGATTGTGCCCTGGCCATCTTCCTCCTGGCAGCACTCAGGGTTGTTTCAAGGAGCACACGGCCGAGCCATTTTTATTTTGGTCATTCGTGTGTTATCTTGATTGTGTGATAAAAATACTGATTTTCTCTTTAGGGTAATTATATGGGACCTCAAAAGTATTTAGATTTAATGTGTGCCTGCTTTTTCTTTTCCTCCACGTTGCTCCTTCTGGACGGTGTTTGGTGGAAAGTCCATTTAAAGAAGTACATTAAACAGATGGTGTGGGTGTGTAGCAAACTTCAGGAATAAGGGACAATCACACTGGGGTTTGGAAACTGTCACATCACTTCCCGGGTGTCTGAAAGCTGTGTGCCAATGAGGCACCCCAGATGTGCCCGGACAGCGAGAAGCCCTGTGAAAGGGTAGAGAAACGAGTGCTGAGAGTGGTATGGTGCGCACTTCCACAGATGATCCATGAGTGTGAGTGTGTGTGTGTGTGTGTGTGTGTGTGCGCGCGCACGCACGCGCACACGTAGGGAACAATGGCTTTAAAAAGGCAAATTTCTCCTTGGCCCAGCATGGACTGGCACTGACTGTCAGGCTACCAGCTGTTTGCAAAATTTCACCTAATTTGAAAACCACCAAGCAGGACTTTCCAGGAGGAAATTCTGTCTGTGGTCATCAGGCCTATTGGAAAGTCAGGTGCTGACATGTAGCCTGCCAACTAGGACTCTGAAGTCCCCGAGGAAAGAGCACACCTTTCTTTCCACGAAACACCATCCAGAAGAAAGAAATGCCAGGCAGCACCGCAGCAGCCCTGAGTTCCAAGTCCCAGGGCCATGCGTGGGCTGAGCAGGGCTTCCGGCTTACGCGTTTTCACCAGGCCGGTCAGGGCGTCGCTGAAGCCTTCGGCTTGGGAGGCGAAGATCTTCACACTGTAGTCCATCCCGCTGAGGAGGTTGGTGATGAGGACGGTGCGAATGTCTGCTCCCACGAACGTTTCCAGAGTTGGGCCAGGAACTAAAGGAGAAAGGGCACGTGTCTCAGGTACAGCCGAACACGGGGAATGGGGCATTGTGGAGTAAACTGTAGTCGGTCAACCGCTTTTCAGTCCCAGCATTACCCAGTGGGCAAGTCCAGCCGAGGTTTGGACCTGGTCCCGTCACCTCTCCCGCCCAAGACCGCCGTGCAGGAGGCTGATTGTAGGGACCCAGTGCTTTCCTGCAGTGTGGTCTTTCCCCATTATTCAGAGAAGCTGGCCTGGCTCACAGCCCACCATCCTCCTCACTGTGAGGGACTTGCCCGTGAGGGACATTCAAGGTGCTGAAAGGAGTCATGCTCGATCCCCTTCGCATGCACGCGCGCGCACTCTCACACACACACACACAACACACTCACACACACACACTCACACACACGTGTGTGTGCGTGCACACACACACTCACGCGCACTCACTCACACACACGCGTGCGCGCACGCGCGCACGCACACACACACACAACCATGCCCCTGGAAGTGTGCAAGCGGCAGGAGCAGCACATTCTTTCCTGGACAGCCAACCGGGCCACGGGGGAACAGCAGGATGGCTGACACTGTAGTTCTACCTGCTCCTGGGGTTTTGAATGCTAATAGATGAGGCTTTTATTCCAAAGCTCCTGCACATTGGGCATTTACCTCTTTGGCTCTGTTTCAATTCTGTTTCCAGTCAGGTCTTCGACTGAGTTTTAAAAACATCCCTCTCTAAGTCCCACACAAAGGGACTGATCTGCAGCCTCTTTCCGTGTGTACTCATTCTCCCAGAGCCGTGAGTTAGTGCCAGGCTCCTCCTGTGCCTCTCTCCCCGCCTGAAGCCCGCTTCCACTGATGTGGCCTGCTCTGTCTGTCCGCGCTGTCTTCCCGTGCCCTGAACACAAGACCACTGACCACGAACTGTTCTACCTCGGACCTATGCCAAGATTTCTCACTCTCAACACAACTGTCATTCGGAACTGGATGACGCTGTACTACAGGACAGGGAAAGATAGGAAGTTGTACGATGTCCAGCAGTATCCGCTAGCTACCAACAGCAAGTCTTGGCTCTCCGAGGCCGTAACAACCAAGCTTCTCCCCGGAGGGCTAAGTGCCCCAGGTGAGAGCCATCACCGGAAAGCTACTCAGAATTCCTAATCACACCGGTAAAGCGATCCAGAGAACAAACCGGGCAGGGATGTCTGGTGAAGTGATGCGTACTTCAGGCCTAAAGAGAGAGAAATTGACGCTGGACGGGTCCCCATGGGCTGCCCTGGCAGTGTGTCCAGAGCCTTTTCGCTACCTGATCATCACAGTTCCTGCAGATGTTTGACCGGAGAAACTGCGGCTGGGGTATTTGTTGTCTGAGCCTATAGACCTCAGCACCTGGTTAATCGACACAACAGAAAGGCTGAAAACCGAGATGGGGCAGGAGCAACATCTCGGATGACAGCTTCAGACTGATGTCGCTTTGGGAGGGCAGAAAGCATTTTTTGAAAGAATTTTTTGAAATTTTTCCTGCCAAATTAGGAAAGATGCCTGGAGAAACACTTTCTGCTGAGTAACCAGGGTTCCGCAGGCCCAGGTCTAGAACCTATGTAACACCCATCTCCGGCTCCTGCTTCAGCTCCGTAGAAGGTGAAGGCGGCACCGGGGTGGGTGTGGAGTGCAGCACCCGAGCCCGGGCACCACCAGGCCCAACTGGGTTTCCCTCACCCTTCCAGGCACACTGACCTCGGACAGGAGAGGAAGGTGGCTACGAGGTGGCACAGAAGCATTTTGCTACTGCTCCAAAGTGACAAGACTGAGGAGTGGGGGAAGGGTTTTTTCCCAAGGAATCTAAGGAAATCCTGAAATTAAGAGATTCCAAATGTCTACGACTTACACAGCAGCTGAGCCACAGGACTCGCTACTCCTGTGGAGTCCAGGTCACCTCGGGCTGTCCCTGTCTGGGGTGTGGTCAGGCCCCAGAGGCCGAGCAGACACCAGGTTCTGTTCACCCGGAGTGAGCCGCCTTTCTCCGTGAGGTGACACTGCCACCCTCCCGATAACCTCTCCCTGCCCTAACGCTGACTCTACCAAACAGGTAGGAAGCTCTTGTTACGTCTTTGAAAAGGTAACACCAAACACTGACAAAACAATCAGAACAATTTATCGTCAAAGGCACGGCAGACCTGAGGGCTACGTACCACCAACAGGTCTGTAGACGATTCTGTAGCCCTTTATGGGGCCGGGCGGGGGGTCCCACGTGATGCGAAGCCGGTTGTACCACTCTTCCGAGACCCGTAAGTTTTGGGGACCAGAGGGTGGCGCTGCGCAGGAAAGAAAAGACAAACTAAGGACTCCTGGGAGCTTCCTTCTCTATGGCCTACACAACTGTCAACGGAGTTTACGACATCTTCTCTCTCACGGGGTTAAAAAGAAGTGAAAGTGTACCAAGGCCCACAGTGAGAAACCTTTTGTCTGCTTTTTAAAAGATTAAATACATGGAAAATCATTCTCGTGGTGAAGCAGTTTTGCCTAAATCCAGAAGTTCATTCAAGACCATGTTGGTTTAAGTAAAACAATTGAATCAAATAGTGCTGATTACAAACTTCTGTCCATACGAAGTCTGTTCCACATCATCAAAGAACAGGTGTCCCACAGACAGAGGGTGCCGCTCACACGGTGATGGCGATGATTCTTGGAGCTAAAGTCTCATGGGTTTTCACTTTTTATCTTTGCATGGTCCAAATATATTGTTTGAAACTTTGTATTATTCTTCATCTAATTTTTTATAAAATCATAAAATTACAAGGAGGTCCTTTGTAAACTATTATGCATGCTGACTGATACTGTTACAGTAGACCCTTGACTTACAAACTCAATTCATTTCTGAGGGCTGCTTGTAACTCAAGTTGGTCAGTGCAGGCTCAGGCTCCTCTCCACAGCCTTCAAAGTCTCTCTCCTGCACACAGGCGGATCTCAGTGTCCTTAGAGAGACACCGGCCCAGGACTTCTCAGTGAGCCCCACACAGGACAGGATGCTATAATGCTCCTTCCAGAACTCTTTTTTTTGTACCAGGGATTGAACTTAGGTCCTTGCACTTACAAGGCAGCAGCAGAACCACTGAACTAAATCTCTGCCCCATCCCTCCAGAACTCTTTAAGGGTTAAATCTATGTTTGAGGCCATCCGGAAGCTGGCATTTGGGTCATAACCCAAAACTTTGATTGTAAGTTCAAACAGGCATTCCAGTTATAACACAAGTTGTTTGTATGTCAGGCCTGTGGTAACTCGAGGGCCCACTGTATCATTATTTTTTTTGACAGAATCACTTGTGCTGGCCACTGTAAAGATAAGCAGACATCCGCTGCCACTGAGATAATTTTGCTGAATGGAGAGCGTTGTATGCAATGGCACTTTGGTAATAAGATATAAAGTGCGCTTCTACAGAAACAGTCTTTGTGTTAGGTAGATACTGATTCACTTGACTTCTTCAGCTGTTGTCTGTAGCTTTCAAGAAGTTTACGCAGCAGCAAAATACTAAAATGTGGTCAAAAGGCCAGCACAATGGCACCTCGACAGCTAGGACGTATCCAGGGCCTACACTGACCGGGATCAAATCCAGATGCCAAGGTCTCAGCAGAGACTTCGATGGCTCTCCTCTCCCCTTTCCACAAGGAGCCCAGACAATCAATGGAGCCATCTGAGGGCTCACAAGAGTCCAGGTGCTCCTGACACCTATGCAGGCCCAGCAGGAAATCTGGGAGGAGGACACACGGCAGGGACAGGGAAGGGACGGACCCCAGCACTGCTCCGTGAGAAGACAGGACCTCTCCGTGGGGCGCAGAACCCATGCCCCGGTGCCAGGGTTCTGAGTCCACCTCTGACACCGTTCTGCCCCTGAGCCCATGTAACTGTTGGCGATGATTACGATGAATCACAGACAGGTGCGGTTACTTGGACCCTTCCTCCATGGAGAGGTGGAAGTCGTGACTTTCTGTTTGGATCTGGGTGGGTTCTGTGGCCGCCTTGACCCGTGGATGACAGCAGAAGCCACAGGACTCTTCAGGCCCCATCCTGGGCTGTCCTGGCAGCTTCTGTTTTCTGCTTCCTGGACACCTTGCTCTCAGAGTCCTGAGTCACGGGGAAGAACTACAGTCACCTGATTGGAAAAAGTCCACGGAGAGGCTGTGTGGCTCAGGGAGACAGACTCGGCTGAGGCCAGCAGTCGCCACTCCAGGACACGCAGGTGGATGAGGCTTAGACCCTCAGACCAACTCAGCATCCAGCGAACAGCACCGGGCCATGCTAATCAGTACGTGGGACAACACTTCTCAGCAAGCACCAGCCGATTCCTGCCCACGCATTTGTGAGACACCGTGAAAGGGCCACAGTCGAACGCTGTTAAGTTTTTAAATGAGCTAATGCTCATGCAGGTAACCACAAGGGGAATGGAGACGCTTGCTTTTCAGGGACAGGACACAGACAGTGAACAGGAGCATGCCAGACTGCAGAGTGCCCAGGCACGACTGAACACAGCCGGACATCAGGCCGACACCTCAGGGGTGAGCGGCAGCAGGATCATCTGGGAAGGCGGAGGCAGGAGGCGCACAGGCGGCAGGCGGCAGGAAAGGAGTCTGCGGAGCCAGGCGGGGAGGTGCTTGGGCCAGCGAGTCCAGGGAGGCGAGGGGAGAGACAGGAGGAGGGACTGAGAGGGACAGAAGTGAGCACAGACCAGCGAAGCCCCGGGACTCGTGGTGAGTCCGACGCTGGTGGAGAAAGAGCAGCTCTTCCTCGAGTCTCAGCTTCTGCAGAGGACTCTGAAGCCCAGGGCAGAGGAGCGAGTCACCCAAGCCACAGGGCACGTCCGTGTGCCAGGGACCAGGTGCGGGTTTGTTTCCGGACCTCTCGCCCGCTGCCCCACACCGGGCCGAGGGCTGTGCTCACCGGTTCTCCCAGGGGCGGAGACGCTGACACCTTCTCCGTCCGAGTAGATGGGTGTCACGGTGACTTTGTATTCTGTAGCTGCGAGAAGGGGCTTCAGCAGAACGCTGTTCTGGCTTCCAGGCACCATAACCTGTGTGAAAAACCAAGGGCCGAGGGCCGGTAAGATTCCCGTTCCCACTGACCCACGGCCCCAGCACAGCTGTGGACATTTTTACATCAGAAGCCAGGAGACCTGCTCGGCAGTGGTCAGGAAAGAGCGGGCACACGCACAAGAGCGTCTGTCCCCCGCGTCCTCCTCACACTGGCCCTTGGGCACCATCACTCATCGTCAGCCACAGGTGCTCAGGGGTTGGGGGTGGCGTCCTGTGCCCCAGCCTGCTGCCTGGCAGCAAACGCAGCCTCCCCAGCTTCCTCCCGCAGGATAACTTGGCTCCAGCCCTCCATTCCTTCAATTAGCAGGGCTGGCTGTTGGCCGAGAGCCACAGACCGCATACCGGGGCCAAGCATTCCGAGCCGAAGTGGACTCACCAGCAACACTCACACAGTGCTGCTAGTTTGTTTTTAAATTTCTGAAAAGATTGTCTTCTTCAGTCTGGGAGCACCATCCTTCTGTCTCTAAAGGCTGCCAAAAAAAAAAAGACTCCTGGCGGAGAGGTGGGCTCACTGCCCAGGTGTCAGCAAAGTGCCATGTGGCACGGGTGCCCACCGGGTGTCCCAAGGGACAGTGAGGACCCGAGGAGCCACGTGTCCCCAGTGCTGAAGCTGCCTGGCTCCAAAGCCAGCTGCCCGCACCCCCGGACCACGTGGAGACCCGAATCGTGGCTGCAGTACGAGACCCGGCGGAGTTGGGAGTCACAGGGCTGGGCAGCTGGAGGAGCTTTCCGTTCAAGGGCTGGGTGAAATGCCAGCGGCCTGAGGGTGGTGCTGCTGCTTCTGGATGCCGCGAGGGGCCCAGAAATCAGGGAGAAAGTCCTAGAAAGCCTGCAGTTGAACCCCAAGCAGCTGTTGCTACGATATTGCTAAGCTCTCAAAAAGAATGTTTTTAATGTGAATAAAGGAGGTCTGAGCTGGGTGATTTTTATTAGACTCACAGAAGTGGCACTGCGAGGCCCAGAGCGGTGTGGGTGTGCGCACAGGGTCCCGGGAGGGAGCTCTGACACTAAAGCGTCCCCTGGCATCGAGGCCGCGTAGGGCCCGGCTGCCCTGGGGCCCGCCTGCTGTCAGCGCGGCTTCCTCCCGGGTGCTCCGCTGACGCACAGCCTTCCGGGGCCAGGGCCCCGCGGTCTGTCTAGCCTACATCGCAAACGAGCTCCTCTCCTACTGAGGAGCACAGGCCCGTGGGGTCCTGGCAGCAGGGTGACCGCTTTAGGGGACTCGTTCAGGTCGCCAGGAGCAGCTGCTGTGCTCCACAATACTGGCCCTGGCTTATCTATCAGCCGTGGGAGGTGCGGCTCTAAGTCTCCGAACTCAGCCACTCCCGTCATTTTCATCCCAACCTCTTGAGGTACGTGGCGCCATCACACTCACTTTACAGATGGGGAAGCTGAGGCCTGCACGGCTCGGTAAAGGAGCCGCACCGTATGCCCAGGAATCTGGTCCAGGCCTTGCCTCTACCTCTCACCCTCCATTCCGTGTGAATGACTTGCACGAACGTGAAGCTCATCCCATGAGTAAAGTGTGCAGAGCCCTCCCTGCCTAGCTGTGCGGTCGCAGCAGATCCATAGAAGATGCTCATGGTTAGCTGGGATGGAAGCCCAGTTTAATGTTCCCGGAAACGACCCCGGGTCCGGCTCTGTTGTTACCCAGAGGTGGTCAGAGCAGCCTGGCCACTGCAAGCTGGTCCCTACGGAGAAGCGTCCCCGAGTTCCCTTCTCAGGGCATTCTGTTTCCAGACGACGGCTTTCATCCTGCCTGTGGTGCATGACAAGATGGGGTGCGGTGGGGTTTTAACTCCATCACGCAGGCCAATGTTTGTACAAAATACAGCAAAAGCAAATCACCAGAGAAGTGGCCAAGTCCTTCGCGGTTTCAGTGATGTCGCACAGTGACTACTATTTCTAAAGCTTAATTTTTTTTCTCCTGCTAAAGCTTAATCTTAATATCTGAACTGATCATGGAGGAGCCTGGGCCTCCCACGGAGCAACCTACTCTGGAAAACTCCCTGCAACTCAAACTTTCAGTTGTGGTAGAGATTTTGGCACCGAGACTAGAGATCTGGACTTCCAGCCAGTGTTTTACCAATGAACAAGAGCCACACTGCTCTGCCGGCAAAATCAGGGCAGCAGCCCTGTCACCCCAGCACGTTCCGAACAAAGCAGTAGCAAGTCCGTCTTTATCAAGTATTGAGTGGGCAGTTTTAGTTACAAGCGTTCAGAAAGCAGTCCTTGGAAATACTCAGTTGATTTGACTGCACCTAGAACACAGATATTTCATGAAACTCAGCCGATGAAGTAAATGCCCTTGCCCGTTCCGTTTGATTCACAAAAGTCAGCCCATTCACTGTCCTTGACGTTACTACCTCACATGAAGACATCGGCTCTCGCGGTTAAGGAGAGTTTGGGAGGATGGTGCGGCGTCCCTCTTTCCAGGGACGTCTCCTTTCTTGCTGTTACAATACTTTATCGGTCTTTCCCTGCCATGAATCATTATCTTAAAATATAATGTGATAGCTGTTCAACTTCAAGACTTGCGACTTCAGCATAAGTTCACAGCCGATGGTCCGACCTTCATTTCTTAATCCTAACTCAGCAGCGATTCACTTTCTATCTTTCTCCAACAGGACCAATCCAGCACATTTGTACAGCAGTAATGCTTGATAAAACATAAATTCCCAATTAATCCGCAGATAAGTCCCCATAAACTAAGTGCACACAAATTGTGCACAAAAATCCAGTTTAATTGGCATTCACTAAAGGAGCTGAATATTTAAAGAATTCTACAGTAGTTGTTTTTTTTATACAGCTGAAACAAAAACAAACACTTCCTCACAGCAAGTTATCACCATGAGATTTATCAGTATCTTTCATTTTTATTAAAGTTTTCTTTAACTGGGGCAAACTAAGTCTTTTTGCTTTTTCCCCTTCATCTAGGTGTTCGAGTGTTTCAAAAACAAGCAGTTCCTAATGAAACTGCCAAAGCAAAAATTATCTAGAAGCAACCCAAAGTAAATATTATTATAATTTTACCTTGCATAGCCCACAAGTGCATGTGTGAGATTAAACTGATACTCTTTCCAAATTGGCAGGAATAATTCGCTAAGAAGCTTAATGCGTTTCTTGGAATAAGTAAAAAAAAAAAAAACAGAAAGCAAATAAGCCTTTCACACTGGGAAGTTTCTATGAGTCTCACTTTCGGGAGCTAAATTACCACAGGAGGACAGTGATAGCAAAAATAAAACACCCGGATTAATTCAGTGGTATGCGTATACATATGCACTGTGCTCTTATTTTTGAATCTGGGAGTCGTGAACTCTCTGAAATGTACGGTCAAAGTGAACCTGAGGTTGGGCCTCTGCCGTTGAAACGAGCGTTCCTGGACGAGTGCAGGGACCTCTGGGCGCCTCGGCGGGCTTGACCCTTGTTTCCACCACCGCCTTGCCCTGTTGCCCTCCCTCCGTCAGCTGGCAGTGACGAGCTTTTGCAATGCCACCTCTGCTCACACAATTGTTTATCTACGCACATCATTTCTTCCATCACAGGCTTTGTAAGTAAGAAAGAGACAGAAAGCGTGATGCTGTTCTTGAACAATGATGAATTTTGAAGATTCCTTTCCTAGGGTACTGAAAGTAATGCAGCAGGGAACAATGGATGTAACTAATGAGCTACATAAGACAGACTTCACGACGGAAAAGACGAATTTCTCCCAACTGAAGAGTGGGGCACATATGTGGGGGACGGTTTCGGGTTCTAGACTGAAGGGGTGATGTGGGATACAGTGAAGGACCCGAGAGAAGACAGGGATTGGACAGTACCAGGCTTCCCATATGGAAAAATATGCCGTGGGGACTGCATGCCCTGCAAATGTGTTCTAATCAAAATAAATAAATGTAAATGTAAACAAGCTAAAGAAAACTCAGCACACAGAAGTCTAAATGTCCAAGGAGAGACATCCGTGATGGGGAACAAATGAGAAATGGCTCTAAATGAGTCCCAGGAGTGGAAACTGTAGCTCTGTTAAAAGACAGCAATGTGTCAGGAACACTTCACCCAATAAAGAAGATCTGTTGTGTGTTATTGGCTTGAAAAGCTTTCCTCAGACTCCCCAGAGCGATGGAGTTACCACCTAAAGCTCTCTCCGCGGATCTGCACACGGATGCCTCCAACACCACGGCCCTCCCAGGGCCCAGCGGGATGCTCTAACAGGAAGTCAAGGCGGCCGCAGTAACGCCAGGAACGGGGCTTTCCCAGCCTGAAGCAAGCCCAGTGGGGCAAATGCTGGAAACAGGAAGGCCGAAGAGGGACAGGCAGTGAGGCTCAGATTAGGGAGAAGCGTTAGTTGCGGGAGGAGGCGGTCGGCCTGAGCGAAGACAGCCTCGTTAGTGGTGTTAGGGGAGCCAGTGGCTGCTAGGCAGACCGCTCCTACCACTTCCTCTGCAGGGTCCCCTTGAGCTGTCACGTAGGTCACCCTAAACCGCTCCACGCTGCTGTTGGAAATGTCCCACGACACCCGCAGGCTGGAGGGAGTTTCATCATCTACAACCAAGTTTCTGATTCCCGTCTGGAAAACTGGAATAAACACAACAAAGGCGGAAAGAGCGTTGAGCTCATGACATTGCACACAAACTGGGAGGGTCACTTAGAGCCGTTCCAGGATGCAGAAGTGCACAGAGCGAGGGCAGGTCGTCGGGGGTCAAGATGCCGACCAGGAGCAAACATGGGCTCCAGGGCGCTGACAGGACAAGGCCACAGCCCGCTCCACACCGTCAGCCCTGAGCCTTCGCTGTGAGCCCAAGGGGAGCCGGGCAGGGGAACCCCACACCGCCACTCTGCTGGAGAAGTGCCACCAGCATCCCCCCACACCCTTAACCTCCTCACTGCAGCACAACGTTCATCCTCTCAGCCCACAGGGGCCAACTGGTCTCTGACATTTGCCCCAACTCCCCTCACACGTGCTGACACATCCCTTCCTCTCAACTGCTCCCTCAGGCGTCCCGTTTTTCTTCTTTCATCCAGTCCATCTCTCACCATCTCCACCACATCTCCTTTCTCTTCGTTCATTCATGGATTCCCTCAGAAAGCATTCACTGAACTCTCCCTGTACGTCAATGTCAGGTCTTGAAGACACAGTGATTAGTTCTTGACAAAAACAGCAGAAGCATCACAGAGGAGGTAGGATACTGACATTTACCTGGCGGTGGGAATAGAGGGCAAGGAGTTCTAGATGGGAGGAGCAAAAGGAGGAGGAATGGGAAATACAGTTGAGGCAGGAAGAGAAGTAGAAACTCTCTGGAAGGATCTTGATGTTACAATAGGGTCGAGGGCTCGGTAAAGATTAACTGAAGAGAGAATGAATGGGAAACTCAGAGCCACTGAGGTGGTTCAGACAGGGAAATAAAAGATATTACCCAACTTCTGTGTCACAAGTTGACTCTGCAGCTGGTTCAGAGGTGTGTTGCAGTGGCAGAGAGAGCTCAGCTGAGAGAGGAAAGAGCCAAAGTTGTTCCCCACAGAAATATCTGCACAGAAACCATGATGTGAACAGCAGAAGTCACTGAGATCAGAGAAGGGCAAAGAGCCCTGTGGAGGATGCTACATTATCATGCTGAGAGAAGCAAGTGGGAATCCAACACAGAGACGGCCCGGTACACAGTGTGAGGGGTGGATGAAGCAGTGCTGCCCGCAGAGGTAGAGAAGGCATCAGAGCGCTACGGGGCAGTAAAATGTGACCAGTCTGCCCAGGGGAAGAGGGAGGTGCAGCTCCTCTCTAGTTAGTAACATAAAATAAATAAAACTAGAAGAATACAGCTTCTGTCTAAATCAAATAGAAGTAAATGGGCCCCTGTGAGTCCTCACCTGATGTTACGGGTGTGGTTGGTACCACGGTTGTGGCTGGTTCTGTCCAAAAACTGTCAACTAAGAACAAAACAAAAATATTCAGTGAATACTTTGAAATTCTGTAAAAATAATGGCCTCATACGTTTTTATAAGTCATTTCATAGCCTATGAAAAACATATATCGTCTTACTTTTGGGAAAAAGTAAGGCAGACATATCTGTTCTAAGGTAAGAAAACGGAAACCAAAATAAGTCCATTTCTCATCATAGATACGAGACTTCACATAAACATTTGAATTCCATCTACCAAGTTAAGTAGCCTTCCAACTATCTAAAAACAGGGGCATAGACATAATTAAAGTAAATTAAATGGTGTGCAGAGCGAGTTCTGAACGGGCTGCCAATCAAGACCACCAAGGCTGCGACGTGCCCAGGCAAGAGGCATGTGAGGCGTGTGCGCAGGTGCAGGCCAAGCCACACCCACAAAGTGCTTCCGCCCTACAGGCCCCGCCCACAGGGCCCGCGAGAGTCACAGCTCCCCAGGGACGGGCCAGGCCCCTGCCTCAATTTTGGACAGTTCAGAAGGGCGAGCCTGAATGTGGATCGACCAAGAGGTCCCGCTGGGAGCTCAGTTCAGCTTCTCCTGGCCCCGTGCCGCTGTCCTCGGTGCCTTACGTAATTGTCTCCCAGCAGACCTTGCGGGTGCAATTTTCTGTCTCCGAATCTGGTTCCAGGGAACCCAATCTAAGAGATTTAATATGTGCTTAATACCTCATATTTTTCTTAAATGAATGCCTAAGTCAATCAGTGAGTGCATTTTATGCAAAATTCTTGGAAACAAGATCAACTTGGAAAATTCCAGTTCTTGAACATTTCGGCCCTAGATTTCTTTGTCTGGCAGCTTATTCATCTATAAATTACTCCGTCCATCCATCCACCTATCCATTTATCCACAAAGGGTGCCAAATACTGACAGTTTGATAAAGAGTAGGAGGGGTGTGGTTCCCCCTCCCTGGTGACAGGAGTCTAGACCGCTAAGGCACTTTGCCTGCTGGTTTCAGGGCAGGTAGAGACACCTCAGGAGAACCGGAAGCCTCCCAGCAGGTGGACAGCGACCCAGGGAGGAAAAAACCACATCAGCGTGGTGTGGGAGCTGCTGGAGTCCGCGCTGGCCAGGGACTCACGTGTGGTCCCCACGGCTGTCACCACCTCGCTCTCACTGCCGTCATCCAGCACAGCCAGGAGCGAAACTTCATACTCAGTGCCGGGATCCAGGCCCCCAATGACATAGGAATCCTGCTCCTCCCTCAGGACCACCTGAAAAGTACTGCTGCTTGGTCATTAGGTTCACTTGAATACAAGGGGAATAGGAAGTTAGAAAACATGTAAGCGAAAAGGGAAATGTCATTCTGAGCATGTGCAAGAGATAACGGAGCACAACAAACTCCAGAGCTCAACCTGAAAGTCAGGCTAAAGGACACGTTCCTAGTTCAAGGCCAGCTGGGGCTACAAAGTGAGTTCCAGGCCAGCCTGAAGTAGGTAGTGAGATCCTGCCTCAAACAAACAAACAAAAAATAACACAAACAACAAAAACCAAAACCAAAAGAACATATTCCTTTTTGTTCCCCCAACAGATGTTATTAATATTGCAAGAGTGGCATTTGGAGGTGTTATTGTTATTCAGGAGAATGAAAGACTCCGAAGATGTGAAGATGTACAGTGAAAGCCCCGGTCGCCATGCCCCGTAATCGTTAAAAATAAATAAATAAATCTGTGACATCTGTGAAATTCTGGTGAGCGTCATTACTTCTGGAATTCCCAGTCTGTCTGAAGCCCAGAACAACTCCTGCGTGGCAGGAGGCCTCACTTTTGGGCAGGGTGACCTGGGGCGCCCACCTCCTGCGTCTTCCCCCCGTAGACCGGAATCCACATCAGCTTGTGCTGCCCCTCCTCGGCCGAGAGCGGGTGCCAGGTCACTCTGAAGCCGTCCGTCTTCACCTCGTCGATTTCCAAGTACTGCTGGGCAGGGACTTCCTCTGTCGGGCCGGGAAGGAAACTGGATCAGGAAAGGAGCAGGTAAAGGAGGCCAAAGCTCAAGCCCGCAACCGCCACGGGGGAAGACTCCGCAAGGAATCTTTTGCTATTGGAAAACCACAGAAGGAGGGGAAGCCATACCAATCAGTCTGGAGTGGGCTGACTGCCTAAATCAGGAAAGCCAGGGAAAGAGATCTGAAGGGCTTTCCGGTAATCACAGAATCCTTGGCTTGTTTACTTGGCTCTTTTCATTAAGTAGAATCAATAAAAATGCCATGTAGGCTATTTTATCAAGATATTATATTCCAAGTGTTTTGAGGAAGTTCGCAGGTACGGCCTGCAGAAACGGTCTCTTTCACACTGGTGTAGCAGTTCCCTCCGTCCTGCTGGGGAAGAACCTCACTGTGTTCGCCTTTCACATCAGAAGCGAAATTTAATCTTCCGGACCCTGCACCCGTCACAACTTACACGCTTTGGGGATGTACAGCAGAGAGCGCAACGTCCAACTGCACCCCAGATAAATGTTTCCCTGGTTGGTTTTTATTATTTGAGCTCAGGGATTTTAAAGCTCTGATAGGACAGCGTGGGAATTCCAACCCGCGGGAGATCCTGAGAACTCGCTGGATTTTTCTGTACCTCTCATTTCTCAATCCCACCACCTCCCTTCTCCCTAAATGACTCTCCTCTCCATAGAACGGAGCTGGGTTTGCTTCCAAGTGCAGTCAGTAAGTTCGGGAAGCAAACAGCGGAGCCGAGGCCACCAAGATACAGAGGGTTTCATATTCATTAGGCAACGGCAGGATCCATACAGAAAGGAAAAGAACGTATTCACACCTTCCAGGTCATTTCAGTATTGAAAACATTCCTTATTGGATTAAGATTTTGGGTTGCAAGAGAATAAAGTAATAGCTGTAGCATGATGCATTACAACAAATAGCATGAAACTGTCTCTTTTAGTTAAAAACTGTTAGATATCCGCAGTTTTGGAAGTTCAATTTAATACACACACGGGAATGGAAGAAGGACGTGAAAATTTTACAACTAGAAATAAAAAAATTCAAGATTGTGAAGTTTTTAAAACTTAAGTACTTAGATTTTTTAAAAAATTTAGATGGCCTATCCTTTGTTGTGATAGAGAATAATTAGCCAGGATATACACTGGTTACTTAATTGCTTGTTAATTACATATATATTTTTTAATTTACAGTATTGGGAGTTGAACCCAGGGCCTTTGCACTGAGCTACATCCTCAGTCTTTTATTTGATATTTTGACACATGGTCCTGCTAAGTCACTAAACTTCCCAGGCTGGGCTCAAACTTGTGATCCTCCTACCTCAGCCTCCCAGAGTACTGGGATTACAGGCATGGACCACCACTCCTGGTCTGTTAATGGTATTTCAAATTTTAAATGCAAGCTCTTTTAAAAAATCACAGTTGAAGGAGCTGTTACAGGCTTTGGCTTCTGCAGTTACTTCTGAATACTTCAAGGCATACTGAAGCTTACCTGTGGTAAATGTTCCGACCAGAGGCAAAGACTGCCCTTCCTCATAGATGGAGAAGATGGCAACGGAGTACTCGGTGAGCGGGCTCAGGCCCTTCAGAGGGAACGTGGTGATGGGGTCCACCTCAACCTGCAAAAGAGAGCCGTTGTGGGCTACACACACCCCAGGCACCCAGGGGCTGCTGTCTGCGGTGCCCTTGGTGGGGCGTTGGGCTAGGAGTGCTGCAAGACACATTGCTAAATTGTAAAACGGCTCCTGCGCAGACGCTCCTCTTCCACCTTACCTGGTGGAAATCGGCCAGGTGAAGACAGACAGCTTTACAGTGGCACCCGCTCCAGGCCGAGGAGGGGTCGCACGAGCTGATGCAGAACAGCGCTTCCTCAGGGCAGTCCTGCAGCCAGCGCCAGAGGAGCCGGTGAGCCCAGCATCCTCTGCCACCGGCGCGGACACCAGACAGGAGTGAGGGCGCCAGGCAGCTCCTGCACGGTCACTCAGAGCGAGCGACACCTCTGCCCGGCCTCACTTGCAGCCGAGGGCCGGCTACACAGCACGGCCCCAGCAACGCGGGTGTCCCCAGCATGTGCTGGCCTCACTGCCCCTGGTCAGCAGACCAGGAAACCGGCTGGGATCTCACCCGGAGGGAACCGGCTGGGGCCTCGGACCTCAGCGCAGGTGTGTCGGACGTTAAGCCCTGTCTCGTAGACGCTTCTTACACTGTTTTCATTATTCGAGCTCACAGAAAACATATCTGAAATACGAGTTTAAAACGTACTGTGGAAAACTGTATTTACACACTGCTTTCTGACATCTGGGACTGTCCTCGCGAAGGCCAAACGCTTAGACAGTGTCAGGGACTTGACGTGCACCGCTTCCCTCAGAGCTCCGCCCCCTGAACTCTGGGAACTTACGACAGGAATTTCCCGAAGAAGAACCCGAGGTCCAAGGAGCTTGACAAATTTCTCCTGACCCACGAACTGTACCTAGAATGCACATCAGGCCTCCACTTTATTTCTAAGTTGCAAGTCTGGCAAACAGGAACTTAGCAAGGATACCAGGTACAGACATAAGCAGTGAAAACCCAAAATGTTTAGGTGCACTAGGAGACTAAGGGCAAAGTGTATGGAAGCACCTTCCCTCACTGGATAGCTAGGTGGATGACAGTTAGACTGCTGGATACACATATGTACATATAACATGCATGTACATCTGTTTGAAAATTTACCTAAGGCCAGGGATTTGGCTCAGTGGTTTCACACCTGCCTCCCAAGCACAAGGACCTGAGTGCGATCCCCGGTACCAAAAATAAACAAATTTTTAAAATAAAAATAAAAAAAGATCTAAGTTACTCCCTAAACTATTTTATTCGAGGCCATATTTTATAAGATTTCACCATTTGTTATTTTATTTCAAGACCTTTAGGTATCATTTATTTTTATTAGTTATAATATTATGCTTTCAACTATTAGTTCTAGAACAGATTCTGTTGGTAGTGCTTTTAAAATGTGGAGGAATTTGGAAAAGTGATAAAGGATCATGAGCTCATTGTTCTACAACTACTTTTAAGAATAGTTTCTCCAGGCCCGGGGATTTAGCTCAGTGGTGCTGCTCCCTGCCTCACAAGAATAAGGTTCTGAGTTCAATCCCCGGTACCAAAAAAAAGAACAGATTCTCCAGCTTCTGGCTTGAGCTTGACAGCAGCCTGATCTAGCAAGGCATTCAGAAAGTCAGCCATCAGGCGCCCGGGCTCCGGGCTGGGTCTGAACTTCCAACGGCAGTGCTCAATTCTCCCTTGTGTTGGTTCCCTTCCCAATCCTCCCCTGGCAAAAGCCCACCCAGGGGCGGGTGCGACTCATGGTTCTGTCAGTGTTTCTCTGTCAAGCTCTCCGCACAGGGCCTGGCTCACGGCAGAGCCTCAGCAACACCGGACAAGTGTGAGCAGCCACAATCGGCCCCTCTGTCTGTCATGGTCGCTGACACCCAGTTAATGCCTTTCCTCTTTTCCTTGGCCTCCTGAAACAGGAAGTGAGGGAGGGAAGATGGCGGAAGAGGAAGTACAATGGAGAAGGCAAACAGAAGAGGAAGTGAGCAGAGAAATACAGACTGCATGTCAAGTAAAAACTTTTATGATCAACTACATGTTACCTGCAAAGTTGATCTTAGCTGGCAGTTTGTAAATATTTCAAAATGCTTTGTGGATCTTAAAAGCCCAATTGCTACCTTACCTATAAATAGAAGCTTAAATTCGTAGAAAAATAAAGCAAAATCTGGTAGGCACATTCACCCTTAAAAATTAAATATTCCAAAATAAAATAAAATAATACTTCACTTAAATAAAAGACGTGTACCCAGCATCCTTAAATCTCAACTGCATGGTTAATTAAGAATTAAGAATAGGGCTGGGGATTTAGCTCTGTGTTTCGGCGCCTGCCTCACAAGCACAAGGGCCGGAGTTCGATCCTCAGTACCAAAGAAACAAAAACAAGAATTAAGAATAAAGCCGGGCATGTTAGCACACACCTGTAATCCCAGCACTTGGGAGGCTGAGGTAGGAGGATCCCTGTGAGTTCGAGACCAGCCTGGGCTACACAGTGAGTTCCAGGTCAGTCTCAACTATATAGTGAGACCCTGTCTCAAAAAACCAAAAGAAAAGAAAGAAAGAAGAATAAGAAAAGACACACCAGTCAAAACAGATGTTTAGGGCCAGGGATTTGGCTCAGTGGTTCTGCTGCCTGCCTCGCAAGCACAAAGGCCGGAGTGCAATTCCCGGTACCAAAAGAAAAAAGATGTTTAAAAATCTATGCACGGTTTATGCATTGTATCCAATAAAATATTCTTAGATCCTCATTCAAAACACACTTACCGATATTTCAAAGTCAGTTTCACCAAACATGATGTTCTAATTTCCCAGAAAAATACAAATTAGAAATGGTAATTGCCAAAGGCATCCTTAAGATTGAGCAGCACTGTAAAAAAAGCACAAATACGTGCTCTACAACTGTTCTAGTTGGGGCCATTCTTTGCAAAGATGAACAGCACAAAATATCAGAAAACTGCAGTTCCTACTATCTGGGGGCTCATGCCCCCCCAGGTCGTATTTTAATACCTGAGCCTGGTACAGATACTGAGACACTGGCCTTGAGCAGGGGCCCTGGCAAGAGAGGCTCCTGGAAGCCTTCTTGGGAGGACACAGCCAGGAGGTGGCACCTGCGGGAACACTGAATCTGCTGGTGCCCTGACTGTGGTTGTCCCAGCCTGCAGAGCTATAAATGATGCATTTCCGGGTTCTACGAGTCACCAGTCTGAGGCAACTAGCTACGGCCGCGGTTCTTCTTCATGAACCTAATTGTGTCTGTATAATTATTACGTCTATATAATTGCATAATTATGTCAATATAACTGACTTAAATATATATGAAAGTTTTATTTTATTAAAAAGTTATTACCAGAGGAAGATGCACCACAATGTAAAAAAATAAAATAAAATTGTGAGCAGATGTTGTGTTGCTTTGATTGGCCCCTTTTAAATTGGTAATTTCCAATTTCCGAGGTAAAACAGACATCCCTGGTATCTCTCCAAGAGCCCCAGGCCCTGACCGCCCACCTGGACCTTTGTGTAGCAGGAGCTGGGGTGAGCCTCCCGTCACTCCCGTCCCCTCCTCTCCCTGAGTCCCTGGACCTTGGCTGCCCGTTGTCATTCATCACTGGCCCAGGGCTGTCTTTCTTTAAGTAGAGAATTTCTTCTACATCCATGTCCCCCAGACGGAAACGCAAACAGAGCCTAAGGTAGCCTCGCATTTCAAGGGAAACTTTTCTTTGTCACGTGTCTGTCCCTGTGCATTTCGTGGCACGGATTCACTCAGTGACATTACCGGCTGGAGCCTGCTGTGCAGCTAAGTCGGCAGCTCCTGGGAGAACTGTTTATTTGTTACTGGGGCTACAGGGACACTTGGAGCTCAGTGGATTCTATTTTAGTCTTTTTACTGCTCCAGGTTCCTGTCTTCAAAACCAAATAGTTCCAGTGGCTTCAGACACTCCGGAGCCACTTACCCTCAGGGCCTACGAGGGCTTAGGAGGGAAGACAGACAGTTCCATGAGCTCAGGAATTGTGCACTTACTGCCCACGGCTTTCACGGTATTTCTTAGGAAGACCATTTTGTAAAATATTACTTGGATTTAACTGATGGAAAAAAATGGTCTCAGCATATGAAAATACTTGCTTTATTTGGTCAGAAAATAGAACTGATGTAATCCAACATATTTCCCATTTGTCTTAGCTTCCTGGACCAAGATAAGGAAAAATAAAACAAAAATAGCCTTGCTATCCTGCTAAAACACATTTCCAAGAAAGAATTTCTGAAAACATTAGTCACTGCAGGCAAGATCCTATATCTTCTGAGTTTTGTAAGTTCCATTCTTTGAAAGTAACTTCTTAAACTAAAGTTGAACTGTTTATTTTTTTAAATTTAGGCTCATTTAATGAGGTTCTTCAGATGTCAATTTATTTCAAAGCAGGGAGACAAACTGTGTACAAAGCAGAGAGGATCATTATCTCCCCAACCCCATCCGCCATGACAGATGGCATTTTCCAAAGAGACCACATCAGGGTGCACTTCCCGCCCCCAGGCTCTGCTGGCGGGCTGGCGGCCTTCCGTCTAGGAGGGAATTGGGCTGGCCCCCACCGGAAGCTAGGCCGGGCTTGTAACAGCCCCTGCCCATGGGATACGGTGGAGGCCACATCAAATGACTTCTGAGGTGACAGTCTCACCTTGGACAAGTGTCACGGGTCTCCTGAGCCAGCTGCCCTGCAGCGATAGGCAGGGAAGACGCAGAGGTCTGCCCTGGTCCAGCTGCCCTGATCTTTCCAGACCAAGCACCAGATATGTGAGCACTGAAGTTGAACACACAATGGCCGCTCTGGCCACCTCCCACCCCAGCAGCACACCCAAGCTCCAGTCCCCGACCCACAGAAAGTAAATAGTGCTGTTGTCAGCCACCAGGCTTTGCTCACACAGTGGCACAACGACCTTGAAACGGACTCAGGCTGTTCCACGGCTCACCTCGTTGATCTCTGTGCCATCTGCGCTGGTGTACACAATTCGGTAACCGCTGATCTTTCTGGAGCTTGGGTCCCAGGACAATCGAGCGCTGTTGGAGCCGACATTGGAGATTCGCAAGTTGCCCGGTGGAGTTAAAGGCACTTTGCAGTGAATGGAATGGAATGGACAATAATTAAAATTTAAATGACAGATATGCAAAAAAGATAAGAGACAGCATCTGTGGCTTCTGTGCTATTTCATATGAAAACTGTCATCAACCATAATTTCTCATCCCATGGATTGTCTAATAAAAAATTAATAATGTAAAAATGAAATAAAAATAAAATGTTTCCTGGTAGAGAGTGAATTACAATAATAAGTTACATATGCTAATAAGATTTCAGTAATTTTCTGTACCTTTCTTGTCTGGTTGGTATAATCATTATAGCCTGACATAAGAACTGTAATGGATTAAAAATAAGGACACCTGAAATCAAACCTTAGCTATTCCACTGAACGATCTTGTGACTCTTTGGAACCACTCTTCCCACACGTGTAATGAATTCCCAAGGTGCCAGCTGCCAGCTCCACATGGGCATCTGTTTGGCGTCTCCAAGCTAACCTGTTTAAACCTGGAACACTGAGTGCCCCCCAGCCCTCTCCTCCCTCCATCTTTCCCTGAACAAATGGAAATGCTGTGCTTCTCATAGCTAAGACAAAAAAAAAAATCCTCAGAGTAATCCCAGATTCCTATTGCCCTCATAACCCACTTACAACCCAACTCCTTCACAATCTGATCACCTCACTCCCACTGCCGCCATCTTGGTGGAAGCCACTATCCGCTCCTAGCTCGGGTTTCTCAAAGGTCTTCCCCAATGAGAACTTTCTTAAGTGAGCAACCAGAATGCTACTTTACACCCTACACCAGACAAAATTTGTTCCTCTGCACAAAACCATGTCCAGGGCTCCCTCTGTTCTTACCATAGCCATTGTGACCCTGTATGACTGGCCTCCGCCATCTTGCTGCCCCATCTCCCATGATTCTCTGCTCGGCTCATGCCACTCATGGACATGCTTCCTGGTTCTGGACCCTCCAGCCATGGTCACTCAAGGGCCACTGCACTTGCTGTCCCTTTTGCCTCCTTGGCATCTCCCTTACCTATCTGCACGGCTGGTCTCCCTTCCTGTGAGGTTTCTGAATACAGCCATCTTCTTGGGGAGGCTCTCCATGGTCATCTTGTGTAAAACAACTCTTCCATCCCACCTTCCTTTTCTGATTTTTTTTTTGCACTGCATATTTTTTATTTACTCTTTCCCCCAGTGTTTTGTAACCCAGGGAATTGGAGAATTTGGTGTAATTTTGCTCCCGCTGTATCCTCAGTGTGCCAAGTACTCAAGAAATATTTAAGGAGTCCATGAGGAATTACCTACCCTGGCAAATGAGAGTGGTTTTGTGAGCCTAAATAAAAATAAGTATTTCACTGCTGCTTTAAACTAGTTAGAGAGGTACTGGCTTTTCTGCAGCTGCTTGACTGTCAATTCCGTAGCTTTTTAATGTTTGCCAGGATCCCCTTCTAATTCCACAAATTAAAAATTCCCCACCATTTTTAGTTTAATGAGCTCTTACAGATTTATAGTAACAATAATTGTTAACATGTACTGTTTTCCCTGAGTCTGACACATAGCATCGTTATCCCATTAAATCCTAATTTTAGACTGCGAAAATGGAGTTGCAGTTAACTCACTCACTGTATCAAAGGCAGTCAAAGTAACTGGGTCACGGTCACGAGGAGCAGAAGAGCAGGAAGAATTTAACTCGGGCAATTGATTAACTGGTTCCAGAACCTACGATGTTAACTAGTATGCTAACCACACACACACACGCACACACGCATGCACACACCTCACAGCACAACACAATCTCAGATAATGTTGATACAGCCAACAGAGCAAAGACATGACGGCAGACGGGGACGGCCTGAGCCACGAGCAAAAGTTTCCTAATCCAAAGGGGCAGCTCTCTCACTCGCTACCTACTGATTCTGTGACAATAAAGGGCTTTACTGGAATTAGTGACCCTATGAGTACCGAAGAGGCCAGAGAGAAAGTGTAGGAGAGAGAAAAGTGCTCTAAGTAGGTGCTGGGCTATGGTTTCTAGAATTCAGCTATATTTGGCAGTCTGGCAAAATAAGGTCTAGCTTTCTTCTTAATGCATAAAACTGCCAGTCTGAGGCACGGGTACCTAGGACATCACGTTTTCCACAGCCTCTTCTTTATTTTGTTTTGTTTTGTTTAAATCAATGGTTAATTATAGGAAAGGGCTGTACATTTTTTTTAACCCTATAAATTAAAAGAGGGACTTGAGTGGATTTTCCTTTCAAGCAGACGGCGTCTGAAAATTCACTCAGCAGATGTCACGTTGGGCACTTTGATTCCGTCCCAGTTTTTGTTTGTGTACTGTTTTAGTGACACGGGACTTTCCCTGAAGAGGGAGGACAAGCGGCTTTGACGGACAGCAACTTCTGCCACGGCTGCCCCGGTGGACTCTGCAGGCCGAAGGGCCCTGCCCACCCCTTCCCCAAGCTTTCCTCCCCTGCTTCGTGCTGCAGGTCGTGGACAGAACCACATCCTGAACGGTCTGTGCTAAGCCCCGTTAGTACGCCATGATGGTGTTTTTGTTTGTCATCGGCTTTTTAAAAAAGAGATAAATACAGACATTTCCTAAAAATACGAGTCCCCTACATTTAGCTCAGAACGAGTCTCAGCTTAGGTAGAGCACTTGCCTCCTGTGCACCAAGCCCGGAGCCCAACCCCCCGCACCCCCACAAGGAAAAACAAGTCGAAATTAGCCTCACCAATAAAAAATGTACCTGGGCTCAGATAAGGAGAGCAAAGGTTTTTAGAAAACCTATTAATTTTGACGAGTGGGAAACAAACAGCTTGAGTGCACGGTGCCTTCGCGTATGGCGCTGTGTTTAATCCTACACCAACCACACACTGTGAGCTGTGCCCCTCCTTTTCACACCCAAAAAGGTTAGGAGGGAACCGGTCCTTCTGCCGAATGGGGCCCACCTGCGGCTCCACCTGCGGCTCCAGCGCGCCTCTGCGGCCCTTGCAGGGCTCCCCGGAGCTCTTCCCCCTATCCTGACCTAGCGTTTGGATTTAGGCAAAGACACCAGTGGAAATCATCGGGACGATGCTGAGGTCCAGCCCCGCCATCCGCATGGCTCCTAACCACACATCGCGGAGGACACGCGTGGACGCCCGAGTGAAGCTCGCCTCCTCCCATGCTGCAGCGAGCTGAGGAAGGTTCGGCCCACACTGATCTGGGCCTTGTCACAGCGCCTGGGCACTCACGTGTCGTCTCCTGTCCCGTGACAGGGTCGCTGGCCTCCTCCCCAAACATCGCGTACACCGTGACGGTGTATTCCGTGTTGGGGACCAACCCGGTCAACTCGATGTCCGTGTGAGTCTCGCCGATCTTCATCTGAAAAGAACACACAAAATGAGACCTCTGGCCAGGGCGTGGGACCGAAGGAAGTGGAGCCTGCGGAACGGGACCGTCTCCTCACAGCCTGGTCCGACTCATCACTCGTCTTTCACGTCGGGAAGAGAGGACACGAGGGGCAACCCGCTGTCCCGTCCCCTTTCTGTCCCTCTTAGATAGAAGCTTTCTTTCTCTCAATAAACCTTTCCTACTACTGACCTCTGTTGTTCCTAGATTTCATTCCTCGATTTTACAGAACACAAACTCGAGTTTTGGATACCTAGCAGGTTTGGGAAGGGTAACATCTCTTGGCCTTTTATCAATATGACAGTGATGTCTTTTTTTATAGATATACATTATAAATACTTAATATGTACTGGGACTTGGGGGAGTGAGACAGGGTCTCATGCTGTCATCCAGGCTGGCCTTGAAGTTGTGGTGATCCTCCTGCCTCAGCCTCCTGAGCACTGGGATTATAGGCGTGCACCACTGTGCTTACATGGGATTGGTATTTTAAAACATTTTTAATTCTAAAGACAAAAGAGAGTCAGGTAGTCTGAGAAGCTGCCACCTTCAACTGTGAACTTGGAAGAAAAACTGGTCTACAGTTAAAGTTTCTCAATCTTGTGTAACACATTGATCCCTTAAAGAGAACAAAATACCATTAACTTCAAAAAGAAAGAGGGAAAATGGAGGGAAAGGAGAAAGGAAATTTAAAAAGAAAAAGAAAGAAGGAAAGAAAGAAAAAGGAAAGCCAGCCAGCCAGGCAGCCAATGACCAAACAACAGCCATACCGGGCAGAATATGGAGAACAGATTCAACAAAGAGAGGTGCAGACCTGCTTTTATTTATTTATGTATGTATGGTTTTTTGAGACAGGGTCTCACTATGTAGTTGAGACTGACCTGGAGCTCACTGTGTAGCCCAAACTGGTCTCGAACTCACAGCGATCCTCCTGCCTCAGCCTCCTGGGTGCTGGGATTACAGGCATACACCACCATGCCCGGCTAAGACCCGCTTTTAAACCAACTACATCAAACTCATACTGCGTGAAGCTGGTTCCCCTTGGATGTATTATTTTGGAGTCTACAGTATCATCCGGCAGAGAGCAAATATACATATCGTGGCAACTACAAGGAGGAAGCGTTGGTTCTTCTGAATCAGACCAGACAGGGCCAGTGGGGTCTCGGAGAGCTTTGCCCCTCAGCACAGTTGCGCCGTGTCACAGAGGGGCCTTCTGGGCGACGCGTGACAGCTGGATTTTCCTTCTGAGCTCTGTGAAGTCACTGTAGTCATGGCTGTAGTTGTTTTTATTCATGCATGTACACAAAATATGATGGATTTTTATTTTAAAATACAGAATAAAGGATTTAGCCAAAGGCTTAAAAAGAAAAGATGCTACGAGTCACACGGAAGGGCACACGCCCGTCACACCTGTCCACGCGGCGTCCATCGCTGCTTCCAAGCAGCCCGTGGCCGGAAGCCCAGTTCTGGCTTCCAGCTCCGAGCCGGGCTTCTGCCGGCCGGTTCCACAGAGGCCCGGGCCAGCGGGGTGCAGTCCCTCCGGGATTCGGGAGGCCGAGTCCACCGTGACACCTGCTTTGGCGATTTGCTGTTCGGCTCTGGGCCCACTTTTGTGACCTCAGGCGCTGGTCAGGCTGGCCACTAATCCAGCTCTGTGACAATAAAGTCTTACGCTTTAGAAGCGGGGGAAAAAGAAAATCTCCATGAACAGTCAAACGAGTTCGAGTGTCACTGTCAGATGAAAATGATCTCTACATGTATCACATAAAGGAACAGAAAAGACTGGGATGCATCCTGATGTAACAGCTCCTCAAATGTAATAGGGATTGCAGTTCTGTGGCCTGCCTCGCAAGGGCAAGGACCGGAGTTCAATCCCTGGTACCAAAAAAAGAAAAAAAAAAGAAACCAAATGTAATAGGGCTTAAAGAGTGGTCACGTGGGCTTCAGGTCTCACACGGGAAGGAAAGGACAAATTCAGATCAGGCAGCTGTTCCTCCTCACTCCTTCTGTTCCCGCTCTGCCCCAATATGGATGTCTGCCTGACTGCTCCATTTTTTAAAATTTCTGTACACATAAGTGTGCGTATGTTAATCATCTATGGGCCTCAGTGTTTGACCACACGCACAAATGATGTCCCAACGTAGTCTTGCTACAACCTACTGGTTTTTCGCTCTGCTGAGATTGTCCTTCAAGATTTGTCCACGTTGGTAACAGCACAGAACTGGCGTCAGCTCCTCGTGTTTTCTTTTGCACAAACACCGGCCATTCCCCTCGCTCCCGGATGAGCACATCAGTGCTTTGCACTCTCCGGTTCTGACCATTCACACTGAGAATTCTCGCAGGACACTTCCCTTGTTGTATCCCTGAACAGCACACATCTTCACAGCGATGAAGTATTTCCAAGTATTCTCCGAGGAGCTGCACCAGTTTAAACGCCGCCAGCCGCCAGGAGCGATGGTTTCTGTCTCATCTCACTACCTCATGGTTTCAACAGACTTCAGAAAGGTTCGCTAATCTGTTGGTTGTGAGCTAGTGTCCTTTTCATTTCTATTTTTCTGTTTTCCAGGGAGACTGAGCATAATTGCAAAACCATTTTTAAGTATTTCTTCTGCCAAAGTCATTCAGATCAACTTTCCATCCAAATGAAAAAAAAAAAGTTTCCAAATCATGAAAATCGAAGAACATCTGTCAACAGCACTCTGGTCTTGAGACTCAGTGCCGATATAAATTTTTACTCTAAATATCTCTGTCACTGGTGGCAGGTTTTAGACCAACTCCAAGAAGCAAGTTGCAAACCGCCTCCTACACCACCTCCCAGTCAAGGCTCTGCGCAGAGGCAGAGAATCCCCCATGTCTAGATTATAGCAAGTGCCCCTCATTAATTAAAAACGAGATCTAAGGCCAGGGGTAGTAGTGCACACCGACAATCCAGTACTGGGGAGGCTGAGGCTGGAGGACCGCCGGGAGTTCGAGACCAGCCCGGGCTACAGAGTGAGTTCAAAGCCAACCTGAACTACACTACGCGACCCTGACTCAAAAAGAAGGAGAGAGAGGGAGAGAGGTCTAACATAAACTAACTAACTGTCAAGTATTCGTAATTTAGAATAGAGAAAAGACAAAATTAATATTGAGATAAATTTGTCTCTCAAATGAATAGGAAAATTCAGTGTATATGGGCAAAAGGGTTATTTATGAACTGCAGATGGTCAAATAAATTATATAAACTTTGTCTAGAGCCATCTGGTAATAACTAATACAAGCCTCGGTAATTCACATACCCTTTGAAAGAGAAACTTCATTTCTGGGAATTCACCCTAAGGAAATAACAGAGCAGCCGCATAATGATATATGGGAAGAATGATAAGAATGTTGAGTATCGGCCAGGCATGGTGGTGCACGCCTGTAATCCCAGCACTCGGGAGGCTGAGTCAGGAGGATCGCTGTGAGTTCGAGACCAGCCTGAGCTACACGGTGAGTTCCAGGTCAGTCTCAACTACATAGTGAGATCCTGTCTCAAAAAACCAAAAAAAAAAAAAAAAGAGAATGTTGAGTATCATTTATACAACCAGCTATCTCCATGACAATAACACGAAGTGAAGCTGGACTTAAATCGACAGTGATACACCACAACCGTAGAAAGCAAGAATGTAAGCATCCCTTAGTGCAGGTGGAAAGACGGTCACAATAAGCGAAATGGAAACAACAGACTACGAAACCATTTTCACTTGTTACATAAAAAAAGCACTGAAGGAGTCTACAAGCCAAACATTAACAAGGGCTATCGCTAGCCCACAAGACTGCAGGTGATTATTTGTTTTCCTTTTTCAAGTCTGAATTTTCCAAATTTTATAGTTAGATTTCTGCAGTGGAACGTGCTCTTCAGGTCTGGGCGCTAGACGGCAGCAGGGATGCGGGCTCACCTCCTTCTCCGCCCCAGCCAGCCCCTCCGAGAGAGGCGCGTACAGGAGCAGGTACCCCGTGGCCCCCGGCACCGGGTCCCACTTGACACGAAGGCTGTTCTCGGTCACACCGTACAGCTCGAGGTCGGAAGCCACGGGCAAAGCAACTGCAAGAGATGCATTTCCGTGTTCAGCCGCTTAGCAATATCCTTGCAAAAATGGAATCAAATATTGGCTGTACATGAAGGGTGTGAGAAAAATGGATCAGGTAAAACCATGAAATGTTTTCAAGTACAATTCTAGATCCTTTGTAATGTGACCCTGCCTCCTTTTCTGACCACACTGTCAAGTTCAGGGCTCTGCTCACCCTTGAAGCTCTTTGCACACACCGCTCAGCACTTCTTGGCACTGATGTGTTACACGGCTTTGGTTTTCCCCTCCTGGACCAAAACCTCCTTGAGAGTTAGGATGGCCAACAAGGGCCTCACAACCGCGTGACAGCCTGCCGCCGGCCACAGCCTTCACAGTGTCTAGAGAGCGGCTACCACCCCTCCGGGCCCAGTCGGGTGTCGCCAAAGCACTGGCCGGGGGCAGACAAAGTACGTACGCGTCGTCTCTGTTCCCCGCAGGCCCTCGCTGGCAGTGTGGGCGTAGACGGCATAGACCGCTACCTGGTACTCAGTTAGAGACATCAGGTTTTTCAACACCAGGGAAGACTCGCTTCTGTCCACCACCACCTGTTTAAAGGAAGTTGGAGGAACAGGAGCTACTGCACGCGCAGAGTTAAAACCCAAAGCACAAGTGTCTCCAGCAAGACCCTCTCATTTTATATATATATATAAATGATTATTATATTATTAATTGGTATCATATCTTCCTTTCGACTGCAGCAGGACAGTTCACAGCCTTTGAATTCCTCCACCAAGTGATGCCTCTTTACGGACCGCATCTGAAGTCATTTATTAATTCATATCTATTGAGAACTGTGTCCTCCCTGGGCTACTTCTTATCCAATCCCTCCGTAACCACTCAATCCACACTTGGTATGTGTGTTTCCATGGTAACATTTAAACATTTTAACATTTCCGGGAAACATTTAAAAGGTTCATTAGTCATGAAAAAGGACAGAACCACTGGAAGCACTCTGATTTTGTTCCCAGATAGTTTAAAACTTCATGATCTACTTCTCCAACCTCTCAAAAAAACCCACTAACCCTGCCATAATCCAAAAGAGAACGGTGAAACACACCGAGGTCGACCAGAGGCTAGGACAGCAGAAGAAAGCGGTGATTTCACCACGTTCTGCTGTATTATCCGCGAAGAGCCGCGTGGAAGGTGGGAGAGGGGAGAAGCCAGTCACCCGGCAGGGGGTGTTCTCTGCAAACCATGAGGAACGCGGGCCGCAGCTGCTTCGCCGTGGCCTTTCGCTAGCGTCCAACGCTACAAATGCTCGGGGAACTTCAGGTCCTGCGGGACCAGTGCGTTACATCCACCACAGGATTCGGAATTCGCAGACTTCCCCAAGGCAGAGATCTCAGGCCACTCCCAAGTTTAAAAAATGATTACAAAAAACAGTGTCTGCCAGACAATTAACTCCTGATGCCTTGTCTTTATAACTCACTAATTTAGGAAGAAATGTAAGTCAGAAATGCAGACCTGACCAGTTCTGACTATCATTGGTGGGGAGGTAAGAGAAGAAGATATAAACACCACGCCTCCAAGAGAGGGACAGGCAATACAGGTGTGTGGAAATGGATTTGGGTCAAAGTATTTAAAGCATTTGTGACAGAACAGTCTCCTCTGTACAAATCCTGGTCTTGTTCTCACTACTGGAGAAGGCATCGGAGGATGAAAACGAGCGTTTGGAAATGCCGTCTCCTTATTACCTCTTCCGGTTTCCCCCCTCGAGTAGGGTAATACACAACCCTGTATTTCTGCACGTGGCCTGGAGCATGCGTCCAGTTAACCATGAAGCTCCCGGCGGTGACTTCAGATGTGATCAGCTCTGTCGGAGGCCCCGTGGTGGCAAGGGCTGAAGCTAAAGGAAAGAAAATGAGAAAATGAACCTCTTTCCCAAAGTTATTGCCTTGCACCTAAGAAACACCATTTAGGGCCAGGGATTTGGCTCAGTGGTTCCGCCGCCTGCCTCGCAAGCACAAGGGCCTGAGTTTGATCCCCAGTACCAAAGAAATAAAACAAAACAAAAGAAACACCATTTGTGAGAAATGACTACTGATTTCATGCTGCTTCTAGGGTTTTCATCTCTTGATAAGCCCATTTGGTTATTAATTCCTGCATCTGTTCATACACTTGGCATCCCTCAGATACCATGCACTGTGCTAGGCTCTGAGGGTACAAACTGAAATCAGGTGTAGTCCTGACTCCTGGGAACTCTTAATGGCAGGGTTGGTAAGTAATACAAGTGAGCATTCACTGAGCATGGGGTACCTCACGGCGCTCTTCCAGGCTCTTTCGAAGTATTAATTCTCAGTAGTTACTATCATTGTCCATGTTTTGTGAGCAAGAAAGCCAAAGTGCAATAAAGCTAATTAACCTGGTCACGGTCCCTTAAATAGTAAGACTCGGAGCTGAGACTGACAGTTTCTAGCATCAGAGAACAATCTCTCTATCAGAATATCAATATCGAATATCTGGAAATAAAAAGGCAACGAGTAGATACCAAAAGCCATGCCGGGCAAAGTGCTATGTGACACTGCTGCACGATGCAAACACGTTAAGTGGCTCTCTGGAGATGTGGGATGAGTACAGTCCGGGCGGGAAAGAAACAAAATGCACAAGCGCGAATAAAGATTCTTGACCCTTAGGAGCACTTACCCGGAGGGACTTCAGTAACCACAGAGAAAAAGCGGTGTTTGGCAGGAACCCTATGGCAGGCTGCGTCACCAGCCTCGTGTGACTGTGAGGCCAGGAGGGGAGCTGGGATCTGAAATAGTCCCTCTCGGGAGTGTGGAGAGGCCTGGTCAAGATCTACCGCCTGGGTGTCCCACCCGGGCCCAGGGAGGAAGAACAGAGGAAGACAGAAGACCTGGGACGCGAGGTGCCGAGTCACACTCCTGGGTGCAACCAAGGCCAGAACTAAAGGCCGACCCTCAAGTGATGCCCCCACACGTGGAGCGCAGGCTCGTCACCAGGGCAACCCGCAGACCAACGCACAAGGAGGAGCAAGGTCCAAGCAATCCCAGGACACGTCTGCTCCCAGCGAGGATGGGTAGGTGCGCTTCTCTGCAGTCCTCCTTTAGGTGAGACAGAACATTCAGGGGGGTATGCAAGGTAAGCACAAGGAGATACCGAAACTGGAAGAAAAGGGCACGTAGGGAGAGGGGGGACTCAAGAAATACCAAAATGGTGAGTTTCCTTTTTTCTTTTTTTCTTCATATATTCTAGACATGCAGTTAAAGTAGCTCACAGCCTAGGAATACCAGTAGAGAGACAAAGATGTCCCAGTAAAGCCTGCTCTCCATAGCCAAAGGACTGGGAAAAAGCCAGCCCACCAAGTCAGAAACTGTTTTGGCAGTAACTGCTTTACTCTACATGACGCCACAGGTAAAAATGTGGCCCACCCACACGCAACAGCAAAGGCTGAACAGGAGCCCCAACTTCCGCCTCTTCTTGGCTAAGAAATGTCTGAAAATTTACCCCATACAAGACAGGGCCACAGAAATTCACAGCAAGTTATGTCATAGTTGTGCTTCTGAAAACTAAACAATAGCCTTTTTTTATTTGGTACCGGGAATCAAATTCGGGACCTTGTGCTTGCGAGGCAGGCTGCTGAACCACTGAGATAAATCCCTGGCCCCTGAAATCCAAACAACAGGAAAAAGTCCTAGGAGCAGTGAGGGACAGATAACATCGTGTGTACTGGAGGAAAACGGCTTAGAAACGGCACGGCGGCTGGAAGAAAGTGGCACCACACTTTTCAAGGGTTGAGAGAAAAGAACTGTCCACCCAGGGATGTGTCCGGCAAACATATCTTTCAGGAATGAAGGGAAAATCAAGATATACCCAGATGAAGGAAACTTAAAAGAATCTGTCAGCAACATAGCTGTCTTAAAATAATAGCTAATGTATTTTTGTAACCAGAAAGAAAATTATTTTTTTAAAAAGGAATCTCAGACCCTCAGGAAGAAGTGACAGAAAGCATAAAAATAAGTGAAATCCAATACATTTGACTTCTTCTCTTGAGTTTTCTAAATTATGCTTGATGGTTGAAGGAGGAATTAAAATATTTCTGCTGTGGTTCTCAACATACAAAGAGGAAATACTTAACACAGCTATGTGCTACACGTGTGTGGTAAAGGAACTTAAAGGTAATCTCTGTACTTTCACTCACTGATGTCAGGGAGGAAACAATATTACCGAAGACACACAGTCATCAAAGGAATAAAAGAATACCATAAAGCACTCTACACACATAAATTCCACACATTTGATGGAATGACCCAATTCTTTGAAAGTAAGAAACTCTCCTCCTAGAATTGGGAATAAAAAAGGATATTCATGCTCGACAGTTTTCAGTCAAGTGAATAGGAGATATCCTAGCACATGCAATAAGGCAAGAAAATGAACTAAAAGTTACTGAGATGAAAAAGAAAGAAACTAACCCTATTTGTAGACAGTATATTTTTCTACATAGAAAGCCTCCAAAAATTTAGAGAAATAGTTCTTAGACTAATTAGCAAGTTCAAATCAGAAGATCATATAAGACTAATATTTTAAAATCAAATTTATTTCTATTTACAATCATTGAACATGTGGATACTAAAATTTTTAAATGACCAAATTAAATATTTAGTTGTCATTCCAGTAAAACTTCAATAGGACATAAGTATATGATACACATAAGTCCCAAAAACTACTGATGCAATAAATCAAGGACTAGCTAAAGAAATGGAGACACATATGATTTTTATTCCCAAAACTGACACTGTGTAACTGAAATCTGATAACTAACTTATTGCTATTCCTACTAAAATCCCAGGAATATTTTTTGTAGGAAAGAGAAAAGATTAATGTTTAATGGGAAGGTAAAGCAATTAGAAGGATAAAATCAATTTTAGAAAAGAATGATCCTGTGAGAAAATTCAAGTCTGCCCATTCTCAAGATTTAGTACCTAGCGGTGGCAAATCAGGATGGTATGATACTGAGAGAGAGGCAGACCAGAAGACCTAATGGAACAGACAGCCCAGAGAGCCAGAAACAAAACATTCTGCCTCACTGATACTTGACACAATAAACAGTTCTACTCGAAAATGGACAAGGCATGAAGAAATATTTCACTGAACAGGACAGGGACATACAGGTGGAAAATAAATACGTGAAAAGATGCTCAATTTCATTAGCTATGAGGCAAATGGAAATGAAATGCATAGTGTTGTACTGCCACAGCATGACTAACACAAAAAAACAGCAACAGTTACAAATGTTGGTGATAACAGACACTTAGAAACCTGGTCACTCCTTCATGCTAGTGGGACTGTAAAACGTTACAGCCACTCTGGAAAGAGTCTGGCAGTTGGGTAACGGAGGAAACTAAACATGCAGCTAGGACACAGCCCGACAGTTGCATTACATTCCAGACAGCTGAAAATGGGTGTTCACACAGGAAGCAGTGCATGAATATTCACAGCAGAGTATTCGTAGTAGCCAAAAGCTGGAAAGAATCCAGACCTCCTTCCCTGTGGGAACGCTTAAGACGCTGGGCAACAGGCCCGTGAACTCTGACACCACGAGGAAGGAGAGCTGCTGACACGCGCAGGAACTTGAACTCCACGGATTCTGCCCGAAAAGCCAAGCCCCAAAGGTGACAGGCTACATGATCCCGTTCGTATAATAGTTTTGAAATTAAAGCAAATTAGAATTGGAGAACAGGATAGTGCCTGCCAGGGTACGGAGAGGGTGGCGGGGGGACACGGGGAGGGTAGTTATAAATGGCCACAGGTGGCCCCCTCATGGCCATGGACCGGCCCTGGGTCCCGGCTGTATCAGTATGGTGTCGCGCTCACGAGTGACCCCTGCTGTGGCTCTGCAGGGCGTCACCACCCACGGGAGCTGGTAGAAAGCACACAATCTCTCTATGTGAGATTCCTTACAACTCTAAGTCTATGTGCAATGAACTCAAAATGAAAAGCTTAATTTTCCAAATGGTCTATGGGTCCCACACTGGAGAAGACCAGCCAGCTGTTGGAGCTGCCACCCCTCTCCCACAAAGCTGGCCGGCCGGGGGTAAGTGCCAACACGAACGCCCAGTCCCCGGTCCCGGATGGTCCAGGACGGTGCTGGGGCCCTCAGTACCTCTGATTTCCCGGTCCTGCTCCTCCACACCAGAGCACACCGTCCGGGTCAGGCTCTCCACCACCGTGTGCATCAGGTCGAACTCGGCCACATTGTACACGTGGGTGCTGTTGGGCTCCGACGCGATCTCCTGCAGCTCCTTCAGGTCCGCGTTCTTCACCCCTGGCGTGGAGGACACAGAGGACGGGGACAGTCACCGGTGCGGCCAGCGGACCTGACGCTGTCTCTACCGCCCCCAAGCACCTGCCTCTGGGCTCTTCGCCTCGGCCAAGAATGGAATGTTTAAGCTGCAGACACACACATGCGTGCTGGGCCAGGGGCCCTCGCCGTCATCCCAGCTGCTTGGGAGGCTGGGCGGGAAGATTTTCCTGAGCCTGGAAGTTCATAAGGTGAGTTCGATTTCAAATAAATCATTACACACGTGAGAAAAACTGGACAGATGAAGACGTGCAGCTGAGGCTTACATCTATTACACAACAGAAAACACTAAATCTGATTCTAACAAGTGACCCGGGTTGGAAGGAAATAAACAGGAAAAGGTAACAGCAAGAACATGTATTTTTGACAAAATGAAACCAGTTACAGCCTGATAAACGGCAGCTGGGACACCATCCTGAGGTGTTGAGTCACACACCTGCCTCCCACAGACCTGCGGGCTGGGATTCGGGGGAAAGCCTCTGCTAATTTAAAGCAACACACCTCATGCTGTCGTTTGCAAAAGTCAGCTTTGGAAACATCTTAAACGATTAGACACGAATTCAGTGAGCACATAGTAAGAAGAAGATGATCTGAAAAGACTAACTTCCATCGCATGTGAATACCGGGGAAGCAAGAAGATCTGATCCCACACCCCAAAGCGCCGTCTAGCTTTAGATGTCCAGGAAACATCTCCTTACACCGGTTACGGGCATTTATAGCGGTACCGCGTCGTGGTCACCGCTCCTACTCGGTGCCCACGGGAAGGCTACGTCCTCCCAGTGTCCCCGGAGTCTGTGACCCGGGCCACCTGTGACCTGAACCTCGCAGATGCCGAGTCCCGGGGCTCTGGTGAGCGCTCTGTCCTCACCGCAGCGGCTCCACGGTTGACCCTGCGACTTCGGCGGGCCCTGCAGTCCCAGGAGGGCGCGGAGGGAGGGAGGGAGGGACTCCGGACGCACCGCGCTGGACAACTATCTCCGGGCCGCAGGAAAAGTCCAAACCGCATGATGACTTCCCTGCCAGCTCTGCTGAAAAGTTCATCTATTCATTACCCGCAAGAGTGCAGGACGGAGGGTAAACACCCAAGCTAATCCCTGACTACTTAGGTCTTCCGCAGAGATTTCCTGTGCAGGATGAAGGGATAAAGAAAATTTGAAAAAAACAAAACAAAACTTGATTTTCTTTCCCCCAAAGGACTTCTAAAGGAGGTTCCAAAATGAATGCGTGAGTTAGTGTGAGCTGAGCCACAGTGATCCTTTTTCTTGTCAGGCAGTTGAAACAGTTTCAACTTGTCGTAAGAATATCCAAATATTCTTATACATATGCTTATAAAAATCGGCATATTCATAAGAATATCTAAAATACATATATTTAATTATCTAGGTGGTAAAATAAGAACACTATTTTAAAGTTTAAAACAAAAGAACATCCTAGAAGAGGTAACTCTCCTCTTTGAATACGTTTGACTGTTCCAACTGCTTTGTTTTTGCCCCTCCCCATGCCTAGCACACAAACACCGACTGATTCTCGAAGAAAACTTTCTACAACCCACACGTCACTGGCAACTCTAAGAACAGGCAAGAGAATTTTTCTCTCACTGACAGCTCGGAATCCTGCACCGGTGACTCCAGAGTGACGACTGTTCAGGCCAAACGAACTCGAATCCACTCCCGGTACAGCTTTGGCCTTTGTCTCTGAGCTGGAGTGACCACGTTGGCTGAAGTCTTTCCAGTCACTGCCCGGAAGTTCCGCCGCGGGAACTAGCAAACTGGCCTGGGCCGGCCCGCGGGACGCAGAGATGTCCCCAACTTCCGCCCGCAAGGACCCCTCGGGCAACAGCCCACGACTCACACCAGGACGCTGGCGTCAGGCAGCCTCAGTTTTGCCCTGCATCTGTTCTTTCTCTTTGTGAAAGGAACACGTGTAGTCACGGCCACACTGCTACGGGCTAACCCGCCTCACCCATCTCAGTAACAGCCATACGCTTCGTGGGCACTAAAAAACTTAGGTGACACTGGTGTCTTCGAAAGGTGGGATGCAACTCATTCCACAACATCTATTGGGTATGTATGTGCTGCATTAGCTTATCTGAAGCACTAGCTGAGGGGCGAGAGGAATTCAAGGCGAAGTTGTCCTGGGGACTCACTGTTCTGAGGAACAGGCAAAGAAGAGAGGAGAGAACAGTTTCCTTGTCCGCTGCACCATTTCCAGGCAGCACCTGACCAGTTCTAGGAAAAAAGCCCTGAAAAAATGGCTGAACCTGCCCCAGTGAGATATAATGTATCAACAGAAATTTTTTTTTGGGGGGGTACCAGGGACAGAACGGGGGTCCTTGCGCTTGTGAGGCAGGCGGCAGAACCGCTGAGCTAAATCCCTGGCCCTTAACAGAGACTTTTGACGGGGTTTCTTTGAGAAATTTACCAACACCCAGGAGGAAGGGTGAGCTAATAGCAGTTCTCAGGCTGGCCCAGGTCTGCAGAGAGACACTGCATTTGTAAAAGTACAGATTCTCAGGCCCCTCTCCCTGAATACTCCAACTAGGAAAACAACAGGCCCCAGGCACCTGTACTGCTCATGCAGCCCCCAGTACGCCTCTGGTGACTGGCATGTAACTCCAGGTAGGGAGTACTCACTCCCTTCTGATAGGAGAAGCGTCTCCTAGAAAGTTTGTCAGCGGGAGACTGCATCGTGTTCTTCATCAGCGCAGGGAAAGGAACGCATTTAACTGGACTACAAAGTGATACCAAGCAGAAACACTGAAAATGTAAAACAGAACAGAACCGACTACTTATAACAAGTAACTCTAAATGTCTGTGGAGCCCCGTGAAGGATTGGGCAGTGGCATTTTGATTTGGATTTCAGGGTTGCTTGGGAAATCAGGCTTTTCTTTTCTCCGGCTGAGAAAGTTTGCTGGTACCTGTTAGCAGAAGCCCTCCCTGTGCCCTAGAAAATATCAACACTTAAGAACAGAGCCGCATCGCATGAAAAATGTGTGGTGATTCTGAATGTATGTCAAGTCTATCCTTGCCCATAGGGGAAGTTTCAAATCAGTAATACTGCATATCCAGAACTCTGGTTTTTTAAAATAGTACAGGACCCAGGCAGGCTCGGTGCTGCACGCCTGTAATCCCCAGCACTCAGGAGGCTGAGGCAGGAGGATCACCAAGAGTTCAAGGCCAACCTGGGCTACACAGAGAGACCCTGTCTCAAAAAATAAATAAATAAATGACTTAAATTCCTTGAAAATAATGAATTGATCTCACTCTCTAGAACCAAAAAAGAGATGGCCATACAGTTTTCTGCTCCATGTCCTACCTGGGGTCCTGACCCTGTGGAGGACATCACGGGGCGGGGCTGTAAGAACTGGGACCAGCAGGGCCGAGGCCCAGGCCCCCAGGAAGGGCACAGAGGGCGGAGCCTGACTGGCAACGCCTACCTACGGCGAACAGCTCCACTCCCGACTCCCGAAGCCTCCTCGAGGGCGGGACGATGTCATCCTGGGATTTCCCGTCTGTGATCAAAATGCCGATTTTGGCAACCCCAGTCCTTGATCCTGCTTCTGGTTTAAAGCTGTTTTCAAAAATGTAGTTCAGAGCAAGGCCTAGAAGAAAGCAAAGGCAGAGTAAGCACAAAGCAGCCCCCTCTAATAGCAGCCTAAACACCGACCTTGTCCTTGGTAGAGCTGATGAAAAACTAAAATCCACCAGAATAAAGGTAAGAAAAACAATCAAGCAGGGCACCAGTTCAGGGGGAAATCTGTGTTTAATTTACCCCTAGACTTCTTTTGCTCTTTCTTTTTATGAATGGAAAATATAGCCCTAATGGTTTTATTACTGCCCCCTAATAATGCCAATGTACTTTAATTTTTTTTATTTTTATTAATCCGCATTTGCAGTCCACAATTATCACTTTTCCCAAGGAGAACTGGTGCGTGTAGATAACACATCTTAGCTCTTTCTTTACCCCTTCCCTCCTTTTCTTCCCCCCATTTTTTTCTCCCCTTGCCATTTGCAAAAATGATCTCTCTCTCTCCTGTTTCCTATCATCTATCTTTATTTTGACCTTTATTGGCATTTTCAGGTTTTTGTATAGGAGAAACTAGGTGCTATGTAAGCTTGGGTGCTTCATGTATTTTACTTAACATTATGATCTCAAAGTGCATCCATTTTCCTACAAATGCCTCATGTTTATCCTTCTTTATGGCCAAGCAGTACTCTGTGGGGGTCTGTATCTTTCATGAATATTCTGATTCTAAGACTCAGGGTAATATTGTTATCTTAGAAAGGCTTGAGACCGCCGAACAATTCAACAATTATCTACTGGCCACAGTTAAGTGCCAAACAGTAGGTTAAGTGACAGGAATGAAAGACGGAGAAGATACCGGACCGACATTTTACTCTCTAGTTGCCAGTTTAAAAGAACAGTGAACTCACACCCAATGAATGTTGATGAGCTTGTGTTCAAAAAAATCTAAACTTTGATCATTCAGGTTGGAAAAATAACACTCACGCATTTCTGGCTGTCTCAAAATATTATTACTACACCTTCAGTCGCATTTGTGATGTTCTAAAGAACCCAAACTTCCCTCTCTCCCTCTCTCTCTCTCTCTCTCATCTACAGTGATAATTATATTTCTGTCTTTTAAGACATTTCCCATCCAGAGAGAAATGACATGTTGCAATATGATTATAGAACTTCTTAAAATAAATCTTTTTGCTATTAGCAGAAATTCCACTAGATTAGGGTTCAAATTGGCAAAGCAATGAAGACTTCAGTGCATTACCTCGAAGTCAGCAACAGCGCCCTCACTGGTGAAGGTGAGTAGTGCATCTATGTGAGGGGTGCAAAGGCAGGAGCTTTGCAGCAAGAATAAAATCTGTACACACAGGACAGGCACGAGGCCCCGGCTCCCTTCTCCAATACCGGGGGAAACCCCACAACTATACAAGTTTCCTGTGGTAACTATAATGTCAATATTTAAAATATCGGCAATCCAGAGATCCCCAAGTATCTTCAAGAAAACTACTGATTGCAGAGTAAGCACGAAGAAAATACTTTGCTTACAAATGTCAGGATCTGTGGAGGCAAAATGGGGTTAAAAAAAACAACAACAGAGGAAATGAACCAGCAAAGGTTAGAAGCTTCCTTATTTCTGGTGACTGCTTTATACCTTCTAGGACCAACTCCTCCCTAGGATAGTATTTTCATACAGCAAAAGAAATGAGCTATCTGGGTTTTAACTTTTAATGCTGGGCTCCGGGAAAGCGTCCATTAAAAATTTTTGGTGTTAACAACTCATAATAGCTAAGTCTTGGAAGAAGCCTAAATGTCCATCGGCAGATGAATGCATAAAGAAATACTGTGTTGCACACAGTGGAGTACTACGCTGCCATAAAGAATGGTAGGTTTGAGACAACTGTAGGAAAATGGGTGCCCTTGCAACCATAGTGTTAAGTGAGATAAATCCCAAATACAAAGAAAGAGGAAGGTAAAAGATAACATGATAGGAAACAGGGAGATCAATGTTTGTTGAAAGGAAAGGGAGACCAAGAAATGGAGGGAGGGAAGGGGACAGGAGCTGAGAAGAAGTGAGGTGTGTCACGTGCCGTGCACCAACTTCCCAAAATGAGTGCAGTCGTTACATTCCACAGTTATGTACTAATAAAAAAAGTTTTTAAAGGGGGGCTGGGGATTCAGCTCAGTGGTGCCACCGCCTGCCTCACAAGCACAAGGTCCTGAGTTCAATTCCCAGTACCAAAAAAAAGGAAAAACAATTTAAAGAGAAAAGGATAGAAAGAATTCTAGCAGCTGCTTTGGTTAAAAAAAATACTTTGTTGATGCTTAAAAAGTAGTGAAATGAGGTAATCCATGATTCCTCAGCAAGACAGGTTGCCAAGGCTGTGGACTGAGCAAACGTACCGGTCAGCGTGTTTCCCCCTTTGTATGGAAGATTTCGCACAGCGTCGATGACTTCATCTTTCGTGCTGAAGGCGTTCAAGTGCCACTCTATCCTGGGGTCACCACTGTACTGAGCAAGACCTGGGGAGAAGACACAGCCCACAGACATGACCACAGGGACCACTCAGGAAATTGCAGCGATTAAAGGCTGCATCTTTGTGATATTTTTTTCTCTGTCTGGCTATTTTTCAAAACATCCCTGGCATCAGTGAAAAGACTCACATTGGATCCATGGGGGGTGCACATTTTCCAGCCATTTGTGAGTTAGTATTTAATTAGACATCTGGCACTGGAAGGGAGGGTGAGCTCTGGGTGGCTAAATAAGAGACATAAACTTCTTTTTTTTTTTTTTTTTTTGCTGTTGCTATTTATTGTCAAAGGAATGATATTCCTTAATGGTTTCTAAAACCTAAACCATGAGACTTTCTATAATAATGACAAGTTACTTAATTATTTACAACATTGCTCATAGATTTTATTACACCTTTTTTTATTTTTTATTTTGTACCGGGGATCAAATTCAGGACCTTAGGCTTGCAAGGCAGGCGCAGTGCCACTGAGCCAAACCCCCGGCCCGCATAGATTTTAAACTCTTCTCTTTTTTTATTATTTTTATCTTGTTTAGAATTTTTGGCAAAGATGATCTGCACTATGAAACTATTTCCACTTTTTTTTTTTTTAAGTTCCATACGTTGCCTGGACAGCTGTTTCTTTTTAAACTGCTATGAGATAAATTCTTAAAGAGGCTGTAGCTCTGAACTATTATTACTGGTGGTGATGGTGGTGTTAACCAGCAGGGAACTAGCCCGGCTTTTCTGAAACTTGAAATGCATTCCATGGTTGATGGACTGAGAGTGTCCAGGCCACGGTCAGTGACCTGCTGGCAGACAGGTGCCCCTGGGGACACCGGCCTGGTGGATCCGGGGTCACCCTGGGGAGCCTGAAACTCCTGGCCCCGAGCAGCCCCACCCCGCCTGCTGTCTGGGCGGTGACACGCACCAACCCGCGTCTTCTGCGAGCCCACGTTGAAGGCTGTGACCAGGCTTTCCAGGAAGAGCCGAACCAGCCTGAAGTTGAACCTCCCGATGCTCCAGGACCCATCCACCAGGATGACGATGTCGGCGACGGCCGGGCTCGGGCACACGAACTTGGCCTCTGCAGGGACAGAGCGCGGCCGTGGGTCACTTACAGCCTCTGACCAGGCCCGCTGAGGAGACGCCAGGGAGTGGGGAGGAACCGGGCAGTCCAGAGTGAGGGGAAGGCAGGGCTGAACACTCCGGCTCAGACAGGTACAGATGTGTGCTCAGGGGAAGCTTTTCAGAAGACAAAATTGGAAAAGAGACCAAGAATTCACTCCTCTGTTCAATTTTTTTTAATATTGCACCTATGCGACACTGAGATTTTTGTCCCTGAAGATCATCAGGTAATTTGTTGTTTTTTAGAGTCATTCATTAGAACTCCAGATAAGGAAGCCAGCAGGGCCTGAGGCCACATCTGTATCCCAGCACTCAGGAGGCTGAGGCAGGAGGATGGCGCCCGAGAGTTTGCCAATGATCCCACACAGGGCACCAAGGCACTGTCTGCACTTTCCCATCAGAGGAGCCTGCCCCTGTCCCCAGGATGAGGGAGAGGAGGGTGACCGGAGATGCTTTCCCCACAAAGCAGATGCCTGAGGTAAGGTAGGTCTGAGCTAAGTCAGGTGAAAGCTGCCATTTCTATTATCAGGGTGCAGATACTGGTCTCCTCTGTCCCTCTCCCTTAACCCCTCATAAACATTTATCTCTCATGGTTCTGAGGGTGTAGGAGCCCAAGGCACCTGCAGCTGTGCTGTCTCTTCAAGACACACCAATGCCAGGATGTTCTTAAAGCCTCCTATAAATCCTCTAATGCAGGATCTTCGGTGCCTTTCGTAGCATTGCTTTGTAATCTAGTCTGCGCTTTTAAAGGAATGTTTGACTTTTTCCTGAATTTTCATATTAGGACTGGAGGTCATAAAGTGCATGTGTGCCTGTGCGAGCGTACAGGTGCGTGTGGGTGCGTGTACATGTGTGTGTATATGGACGTGTACATGTGCGTGCCTGTGTGTGTTTCTCTTTCAGATTCTTGCAGGCCAAGAAAATCTCTACTTAACTTGTTTTTAAAATACCAATAATACTTTGAATATAATTTATGTGTTGAAACTCAAATTCAGAAGAGCTCATAAACAAAAAGAAAATGTTTTTAACCTGAAACAAAGGCTTTAACCTAAAAGTAGCTGAGCCCCTAAGTCGGCACGGGCATTTAGTGCACACTGTCTATGCGCATCCCACACTGTGCGCTCAGAGGACCTGGGCTTCTCCCCAGACACCCAGATTCCGTTAGCAGATGGAGGAAAATGTACTTGCCCGGGGAATGCTCCAGCCTTCACTTTGGAAGCTCAACCGGACAACTCCTCCAAAGTTTATAGTTTAGATTTTTGGCACTGAGTTCTCTCCGTTAAGAGAAGAAAGCCACCAGCTCCGAATCTGGGATCTGCCCTACTGTAACAGACCAAGAAAACCCTAAGATGGAATAACGCCATGGGCCACGGGTGGATATTAATTTGGTTTTTGGACGTAACTAGGGAAAATTCAAATCCGATTAAGCTTCAAATGCCGTCTCTCTGAAGGAAACTTACAGTCAAGGGAAGAGTGACTTTCTTCCTCTTGCAAAACTGCTGGAAATATTACTTCACTTTGTAATTAATTGGAGATTCAGAAAAGCTCTTAGAAAGGGAACACATTCTGATTATTTACAAGAGTAAGGAAACTGATATTTTCTGTTTTAAAAAATTACTTCCATGGGCTGGGGGCTTGGCTCAGAGGTGCCGCCGCCTGCCTTACAAGGTTGGATCCCTGGTACTAAAAAAGAAAAAAATTACTTCCACTAAAAATGTTTACATAGCTTGTTCAAGTCACATGGACTCAGACATAGAAATTCTACATGGCCCCAAGGCATAAAATTAACTGACTACAAATAACAAGATTGAACTGATAACTTTAATGACACTAAAATGTTAAAAATTGTTTATCAAAAAATACTTTAAGGTAAATAAAAAGGACACATTGTAGTTGGGAGAAAGCACATGCAATACACAAGACTGACAAAGGTTCAGGAGGCAGGTTCATGACGAAGCGGGAGTAGATACTTTAGAGATCCCGAAGTACACATTGTCAATAAGTGGGAGAGATGTCTAACTAGGGCCTGGGATTTGGCTCGGTGGTGCCACGCCTGCCTGGCAAGCGCAAGGTAGTTCGATCCCTGGTTCCCCCAAAAAATAAATAAAGTGCCCCAGGAGATGTTTAACTGCATTCACCACCAGTTATCACAGCCAAGATCACAATGAAAGAGTAAACTTAATGCCATTTACAATTGTCCCGAAGACGATGAAATACGTAGGTGCACACTTAACAAAGCACGTACAGAACCGCTGTGCTGAAAATCCCGAAACTGATAAGAGACCAACAACTTTCCATGGCGAAATGTGCTGTGCCCATGAATTGGAAGACCGAACATAATAAAGATGTTAATTATTCCCAAAGTGATCTGTAGGTTTAATGTTATCCTTACCTAAATCCCAGAAATGGTCTTTTTTTTCAGACATAAACAAATGTATTCTAAAATTTGGACTGAAAATTACAGACCCTAGAGTAGTTAAAGCAAACATAAAGAAAATGGATAGCAATAATCACCTCACTGATATTAACCCTATATAGAGCCGCAGTGATTAATAAAATATGGTAATTTGGAGGGATCGACTTATTCGTCAATGGAAAAAATGTAAGATGCAGAAATAGACACACAACTGTGCTACAGAGTTTAGACAAACACACAGAAGCTGGACAAGGACACCCGCGTACAACACCCACGAAAACACGCCGTGACCGAAGCCTCACGCCTACACCCAAATGAATTCCAAGTGGCTGACCCAGGAACTCAAACAGAAGACATAAAAGTCTTAGCAAAACGGCATCCAATGGAACTTGGGATTTGGAAAAGAGTTCTTTGAGTACAACGTACAAAAGTACAGCCCCCAAAAGCAAAACCTCATCAACTGACCTCATCCAAATAAAATATTCTTGTTCTTCGAAAGCTCACAGGAAGAAGGAATGCAGGAGCCTGCAGGAGCATCACCGACGCATTACTACCTGGGACACGGCAATATTTGGTGGGGAAAACCAAGGCACAAGACATTAAATGTAGCATGACATCTTGTTCTACAGAAACTCTTACAAAATATTCTCTTTAAAAATAGAGAGACGTGGCAGACCTAGGCAGAAAGGAAGGGGGGTCCGAGAGGGTGCCGGGGGACAGGGACCAGGAGAGGGGACTGGGCTCCGGGACAGCAGCCGAGGCCACAGCTCGTGGGTAGACAGGGGGGTGCTCAAAGCCTGGGATTTGGGGGGGAACAAGTTGGGGTGCTCAATGTGCCCCCCCAAATAGCCACCAAATAAAACAAAAGGGAAGTAATCCTAACTGGCCCGCATGAACTACTACGTAGAAAAATAACTTTAGTGCTTATGTCATGAAATGCAAGCCCCCAAAACCTTTTACAAAGCTATAACTCAGCATGTTTTCCTTGGAATTAAGACTCCTGCCCTGTTTTCTCACTTAAAGACTAATTAGTATCTGTTGTGTCAGCAGAAAGGCGACTTTCCAAGGATTGCAGAACTCAAAAGTTTTGGTTTCACATTCCAGAGTAATTTTTCTTTGTCTGTGTTGAGACAGGGTCTTGCTATGTTGCCCAGGCTGGTGTCAAAGTTGTGACCCTCCTGCCTCAGCCTCCCAAGCAACTGCAATTCCCAGAGTGTGCCACCATGTCCATCTCCCAACGTATGATTTTTCTTCAAGATTGGTCCATATTTACTAGGAAACTGTGAACACTTTTTTTCAAATGTCATGAATCCTGGTTATGCGCTCTAAGACCTATCCCAATACTGCAAACCTCGCGGCCAGTTTCCTTCCTAACGGGCACGGATTCAGCGTAAGCCGAGCTTTCTGTAAGCGAGGGACGGCCCTTGTCCTGTCCATAGGTTTGCCTTTGCCTGCGGCGTGCGCGTGTTCAGTACTCGGGACAGAGTTTTAAAATCACCACGTTCAAGTTCAGCGATGCGTGTCTCAACATGACTCCAGCTGCTCAGCAGAGCCTTAAGAAATGCACTGAAACCACTGTCTTCCTGAAAAGAGCCCAGATTCAGAACTCAAGACAAATAAAATCACTTTCCACGGGCAAACACCTCACTCGCTTCACTGCTCCTAAAAAGAGGCCAGCGGAAGGAAACACAAAGTGCCTCAAACTGAACCAAAGAATCAGGAGGTAAAAAGATAACCAAACACCTGGAAAATCGGGCAAACACTGCGTAAAACCCCGCTGCAGATAGAGCTTCAGTCCGCACGCGAGAGGGGTAAGTACGCGTGCACTGTCAAGAGGGCCTGCCAGAGACTTTCAGTCTAAGGAACCCTTCGTGTTCTCCATTCTACAGCTGAAGTGTTGAAGCAATTTATCATTACTCTTCCTACTGGAAACTGTGCATGGATGCACGGCCCAGTGGATAAATCTCTGCGCGCACTGGGAAGAGGTAACGGTCAGCGGAGATAAGGAAAACGACCTCCTGAACCGCAATTTAGTTCAGCTAGACACTGATCTAAAGTGCAGCTGTGAAGATACAAGAAGGGCAAATACAGATACGCGTCATATACGGTTCTGTAAGTGAGATGGACGGGTGGGTGCGGATGGGCCCAAGCCGCTGAATGCAGTTCATGGGCAGCAGTCACTGTGCGGAATGGATCGCAGAGATGGTGACAGTCTGGTGGCACCAACAGAAGCAGAAGGGGCCACTGCACAGGTCCAGGGGTTCGATTCCCATCGTGCTGAGCACCACGTGAGGCGGCACTGACACACCCTTCGCCTCCGAGCCCGGAGTTACATCACGAGTGTTTCCTGCTGTGAACTCGGCAGGGCCCCAGGTGCTCCCAGAGGCCGTGACCACCCCCGCTGGTGAGCCACGTCTAATCAGGTGTCCCTCGCAGCGCAGCCCCAAGAGCTGACTCCCCCGCCTGGCCTGTGTCCTGTTCAGTGACACCAGGCCTCTCCCACCTTCAGACCGGAGCAGAAACACCGGGTCTTCTCAGGCTTT